AAATAAATAAAGGAAGTTCCTTCTATGAAGTTAAAAGTTAAAAAAAAGATAGAAATCTTGGCACAATGTATACCAGTAAGGCAGGCCAGAAGAGAAAATTACGAGAATATTAAACAAAAATAACAAATGTTAACGTGAGGTCTCTGCTTGGAGGGAGAGGAGGTGATTATACAGGTGGGATTTAAAGGAGGAAAAGGAGGCAGCGTGACGAATAGAAAGGGGAAGGGAGTTCCAGAGTTTAGGGGCTCTGATCAGAATGGATCGAGTTAGCATGTTCAGATCAGATCCTTCACAAATGGGATTTTAAGGCCTATGTGGATCATTTGATTCGTGATGTAGAAGGAAGCATTGAGGATACACCGGAGACCTTTATACTGAAAGGATTGAATCCATTGGGTGTTGAGGGTTTTGGCCGAGTCTCACAGTTTGACTCCATAAATCCAAATAGGTCTGATGAGTTTAAATAGTTAATTTGTTATGTAAGCTTAGTGTTGATTTTGGTCTCAGTAGGTAGCTAAGCAGTCCAAAACGTTTTGTTCATCTTGTATATGGGTTCCATGTAAGACTGCTATTTAAGTAAAGCCCAAGTTGGTCGGATGGTGGTATTACCTTGTTGTTTATGTGCACTGGTGGGCAGGTATTTGAGCGGCTTTGTCGCTCGTTCAACCAGATCTGCCACCAAGTTCACCAGTTGGTATTGAGGTGCGGATGTTGGAGTGCTTCTGTCGCTGCGACAGGATTGGAGTGGGTTGATAAGATAGTGGTGTCGTCCGTGTAATTTGTGAGTTGTGTGTTTGGATGTATAGGTATGTCAGCAGTGTATATTGTGTAGAGGATTGGATCTAGGATGAGTCCTCGTGGAAAGCTTAAACTTTAAACCATCAAATTGAGAGGAAGGATATTAAACTCTCCTGGTTGACAAAAATTACTTTATTCTCAATATAAAATTTCAAGGGTTTCTAACCCACAACTACTGGTCGTAAACATGCAGCCACACAAGATCATTCTGCAGTGCATTATTTTTTTATTTAGCACAAATATTTTTTAGCTTCCATGGAAAACTATGATCTAATGGCTCAACTTCTCATCCAGTGACCCTGCATTCAAACCTGACATACTTACAAAATGACCTTTTTTTCAAAAACACTGGCACCCTGAGGGTTGATAAGACCTCTGTTGTTGTGAACTGAGTTTTATGTGAACTCATAAAAAAAACCGGACTGAATGATTGTCTGAACCAACTGTCAGAGCCCAGCTGTCACATTTACTTCTGACTGTCAGATCTGACAGTTAAACTTTCACCGTATGCATGGCAAAGTTCAGTCTGACATATTGTAATATATAAACATAATTCATTATTATTTTCATCTAAGATTTTTAATTAATTGTTATAATTAATATGGTAAATTAGGGCCACTAAACAAATATGGATTAATAAAATATAAACATAATGTTGGTAACTTTTTACAGACAGATCCAAATGGATTTTGGTGATCGGTCAGGTGGTTTATTTTATGCAGCTTTAATTTCCATAAACTTGGCTTTAAAAATTGAATATTTTGTAAAAAAGAAAAACTTATGTCAATGTACATTATTGTAAATAAAGCTTTATTATTTATAAGCTGTATTATTTTAATTAACAGGCTATTGGTTTTGAATTTTTTATGTTCTTCAAAAAGCGAGTGGAGAAAATTTTTCAAAATAATTAAAAATAGTTTATTTTGTATTTTAAATAAATTTACCTTTAAGTACGTAGCGGTGGCACTCATCGTCTCTCGGTGGGATGAACGGCGCGAATATAAACCGAGGGGCCGCCGCTGGTGAGTCCCAGGCTGCGACTTGTCTAGTTAATCCAGTTCCAGTCGGACTTGGGACTTGCCTCGGCAAGGCGTAAACATGCCGGCTCGGCGGCCAGCCCGTCTGCCTGAAAAGGACACTCACGACGAGAGGAGCTGCAACGGGCGGCTGACTTTCGACATGGCCCTTCTCTGATGACAGCAGCAGCTCCAGCTGGCTCCGTGGCTCTGATGAGTGGCGGCTGCTCATCTCCTCGCCGGGCGGACTCGTCTTCCCACCTCACCCGACGTCACGGCACGTCTCCCCCTGAAATAACGTCACCACACATGCACATACTTTTATAATATATACATTTTACGGAATTAATCCAATTTATAAATGTTTAAATATAGAAATATACAATATAAAAAATATAATAATATAAAAGCAAAAATAAGAAAAAAAGGAAAAAATTATTTAAGAATTAAACAATATAAAGCAAGAAAATGACCTAAAAGAATGTTTCATATAAATATACCTAAAAAATATCACATTTATCATTGTTATTTTAAGTTTTTAAATTATTGTAAAATAATATGACCTATGTTAAAATATTATATAAATAATATTATAAAACTATTACATGAAAATACGTTGATTAAGTAAGTAAAAATAAGAGTATTTTGTACATATTTAGATGAATTATATTCAGTAAATATTTTAATTATAAATAATATGAGTTAAATATGGAATATGTGAAAAATATAACAATACAAAAGCAAAAATAAGAAAACAAGGAAAAAATTACTTGAGTATTATACAATATGTAAAGAAAGAAAATAGCGTAAAAGAACAGTTCATAAAATTATACCTTAAAAAATATCACATTTATCATTGTCATTTAAGTTTTTAAATTGTCATTGTAAAATAATATAACATATTTGAAATATTTTGTTAACAATATTAGAATACAATTACATGAAAATACGTTGATTAAGTAAAAATAAGAGTATTTGGCGTATGTTTGGATGAATTATATTCAGTAAATATTTTAATTATAAATATTATAAGTTAAGTATGGAAATGTTTGCAAAATATAACAATATGAGCAAAAATAAGAAAACAAAAAATTACTTAAGTATTAAACAGTTTGTAAAGAAAGAATAGTTCATAAAAATATCCTTAAAAAAAGATCATATTTACAATTGTTTTTTTAAGTTTTTAAATTGTCATTGTAAAATAATATAACATATTTTTGAACTGTTAAATAAATAATATTAGACAATAATTACATGAAAATATGTTAAGTAAGTAAAAAACTTTTTATTTTGTACATAATTAGATGAATTATATTCAATAAATATTTTAATTATAAATAATATGAGTTAAATATGGAATATGTGAAAAATATAACAATACAAAAGCAAAAATAAGAAAACAAGGAAAAAATTACTTGAGTATTACACAATATGTAAAGAAAGAAAATAGCGTAAAAGAATAGCTCATAAAATTATACCTTAAAAAAGATCTCATTTATCATCGCTATTTTAAGTTTTTAAATTGTCATTGTAAAATAATATAACATATTTAAAATATTTTATTAATAATATTAAAATACAATTACATGAAAATATGTTGATTAAGTAAGTAAAAATAAGAGTATTTTGTGCATATTATTTATTTAATTTTATTTTTTACGAGGGATCGCAACATTAGAGGTTATTTCAACCCTCGGGGTGCTGGTGTTTTTGAAAAAAAGCCCATTTGTAAGTATGTCAGGCTCGAATGCAGGGCCACTGGATTCGAACCTGGGACCTTTAACTTACAGTGCCGAAACCGTTGCGGCCACTGACACCCCTGCATATTTAGTTGAATCATATTCAGTAAATATTTTAATTAGATTAATAGAAATTATACGAGTTAAATATGGAATATATGAAAAATATAACAAGGAAAAAATTACTTGAGTATTAAACAATATGTAAAGCAAGGTAATATTTTAAAAGAATACTGTGCAGATAGTGATTAACTACCTGAAGCTTGCCAGTGAGTTATAAAAAACAGGGGAGCATCGTAGATCTACTTAGGTCGAGGTGCAGAAGGCCACCTCTTTTATCCCTATCCCTAAGTAATAAGTGTATATAAAAAATTAAATCATTAAGTAATAAGAGTTGCAAACTTATGAAAGATAATATAACTTAAAATATCATAATTCAAGATTTAACTTGTCTACAAACTTGATTGTGGGATGTAAAAAGAGAAAAAAAAAGTAAAATTTGTACAACGTACAGGAGTATTTACTATAATTAGAATGGTAAGAAATATGAAAGAGTCTATGTCTTGTCAATTAACTTGGTACAAAAAATTTAATTTGACTAATTAAAAAAAAAAAAAAAATCTCAATATAATAGTTGATTATTTTGAAAAGAGTAAGTAAATTTGTACCTGTAGGGGAAGTAAATTAGAGTACTGTTAAAATTGTCTATAGTCAATAATAGTAAATCCTATTTTGCATGCAAGCATTCTGAGAAATTTAAATTGTACAGATTGTACTAAATAATATGAATAAAAGAAGAACACATTTATTTATAAACATAAGTAATAGTTTACATTAAATTTTAATGGCAAAATGTCTGCCAGAGTTTGTAATTCTTTTGATTACATCATAATTTAAATTATTTTACAGTGGTAATATGAAAGATGATTTTAATTAACATAAAAAATACATAAGTCAAAATAATAATCTAAACTAAAAATCATGAAATTGTTTCTTTATTAACTCCTGTACAAAGAGTTGTATTGCATGGACTTGGGGTTAGTCCAAGGGGCTTCGCTAGGGCTTCTTTGATCCATTTGTGTACCTAATTAGGGCACTTCTTCCAAAGGTCTCTTGTGACAAAGTTGAGCTTTTTTCTTTTTGTCCGGTACCAACAAGTCATTTTATTTTTCTCCAGAATTTCGTGCCCTCCATAGATATGCCTTTATTTCCTTGTACCCCAGGAGCCTGTTGGCACTCTCAAGAGCCACATTTTGTATAAAATTATGTAATATTGACAGATAAATTATTACGCAAATCCGCGTTTTGCATCTGCAATCTCAGATCTCTTGATTTTCAAAGGTTAATTTGACCTCCATAAAACTAGCAGCTGATAAATAATATGTTGGTTATACAACAATAAAGGTTTTGAGAATAATAATATTAATAAAAGAATCGGAAAAAGAAATTAACTTTTATATATGCAGCGTTGATCGATTTTATTTGTAAATTTAACTGCTTAAGATATGCATCAGCAGTATTGTACAGATTTTTAAACTTTTTACATTAATTATGTAAGAAAGGAATGGAAATTTAGAGGGGTTTGTATGTACAAAATCTTTAATACTCTTTTATATCAATAAATTATTATATCAAAATGAACAATCGCTTTAATGTTATGCAATTAATTGCACATTTGGAATATTTCTTCATAACATTCATTTAAGTGCTATTACAGCTTCTTTTTTATTCAATAATAATAATAATATTTACATCTTTATCAACAAATATTCTCCTTGGATTTATTTTAACAGCGACCACTTCAGTTGTTCCTTAGCACTTTGTAGAACCTGTAAATATATTTTTAACAAAATTAAAAGTGGATTACATAACTGAGCGTAAATGTTATTTGTAAAAATTTCAGACATTTTGGGTACACAATAATGCAAAACAACAAATTTACCTGAGCCACTGTCTGTTCGCCCAGTGGGATGTCGTCTGTTCTCAAGGCTACCCGTTGGACGACACTCGATGCATCAGATTCAAGCAAAATCCTAAAAATAAATTCACTTAAAAATTTTTTTTTTTTTTGGGGGGGGGAGAAATAAAATAAGACAACACTGTACCCTCCGTCACAGATTTCATCCATCGCAAGCATGACGATTTCCAAATTGTCAAAGACCGTCCTTTTCTCGACGTTCTTCCTCAAGATCTGGCTTATCGAGTCGTAAAGACATTGGAGTACGTTCATCAAAATCAGCTAAAATTGAGGAATTTATATGATAAATCAAACGGAAATATGGTGAATTTGTTTAAAATAATAATACCAATAAAAAAGTACAAACTTTTTCATTTGATTTTTAATATTTGATCTGCAAATTTTGTAATCAACAGTGACTATCAACTTAGTTTTTTAAATATAAATTTATCTAACTGGACAGGAAGTTTCAGATAAACCTTAATCAAAAATAGTTGCTTTAAATTTGATTTAATTTTTTTTCAGTCTATAAAGTTTTATAAAACATCAATGGCGTCAAAAATTGCTTCTAAAGGTCTGAGTATGTTGTGTGTCCTGATGATGACTCAGATGATGTAATGATGTTTACAGTGAGGTGCTTTATAAAAGTTGGTTTACAAGATTTTGGACACCCGAGGCAATCCAGTGTCTTTCTTTTTTAATTATGGCAATGCTATGAAATTGCTCATATGGTCTACTAGACTTCTAGAAGTTCTAGTTGATCAAAAGATATTAAATTAGGATTTTTTGTCTTTTTATCGAAGAGGATTTTCTAATAGCTAAAAAAATATATGAGGTAGAAATGAAAAGTACGTTGTTTTGCCTTGAGCTTTTCATTATGGATGCAGAAGCCCTGAACTCCACATATCTGATTGAAAATGCATAGAATAGTTCAAATAACCCTCAGAAAGTTCAAGACTGAAAAATCAAGCTAAAATTGTGTTTTATCAATCCTAACCAAATCCTACTTTTTACATATTAAATAGTCATAATTTAACGTACAGTTCAAGGAAATATAAAAAAATTGAACAGGAAGACAATTTATTTAAAAAAGTCATAAATGGAATAAAGTGAATTACTTCATTTTCATGAGAGCTGCCCATGACGTAGAAAAAGAGATCGACGTTCGACTTGTAGACACAAGTGAGCCCATCGAGCATTATGATCTCAGCATTAGCCCTGTGCGTCTTGTTGAAGAGGTTTTTCTCAAAAGCCTTCTGTTCCTTGACGGTTGGGAATATCTGCGAGTCGTAGTACTTTGCCAAGACCCGGTGGCCGTCATTGTCCAATATAGCAATTCCTTTGACAGTGTACAAAGTCGGATCCTATAAAATCGGACAATAATTTTAGTCAAATTGTTACATATGTTGAAATCATGAATGTGTAGTTCAAGATTGTCTCCGATCATCACAAAAACGACCAACTCCTAATGTGATGAAACACATTTGACGAACTAGCAAGTTGCAAGAGTAAGCCAGGATGATCAGAGATGAGTGAACGACAAATTTTCAATAAGCTTGCTGCAAAGTCGCAGAATGTTCTGACTATTGTTCTATCAAACCAGCACTAAATTATATGGAATATCTCCAACTTTGATATTAGAGAACAGTTTCTCCAGTGGTGTCTTTGTGCCTCAGCTCAAGAATATTCCCGGTATTTTTTTCTTCAACTAATTCTTCATATCACACATCCAACAAGCAATTCTGTAAGACTGAGGCAGCCTGTACAAGTCTTAAGAGCTCTTCCAAATAATTCTTATATAAAAACTAAGTCTGAACTTTAATGGAAAATTTGATTTTTGTTGATTGTTAAACAAGTACTCTACTATCCTGAGCGAATAGTACGCAAATACAAAAGAATGTATTTAAAAGTGAGTGAGAGGGTTTAGATTTAAAAATGCATTGACGCCTGAAATGACAGCTGTTGACAGACCCTGGAGCCCAATTCCGGCAGCGGGATGTATAACACCAAGATCTGATCCCAGACTGCCAAAGGTAGGAAAGCCGGTAGTTTATAGAAATTACACAAAAATGGAAATTGCACGCAAGCTTCCAGAATTACCCGTACCCAAGTGTCGGCAGTTTGAGGTCCACCATCTCCAGGAATTATCAACAGCTAGGTCATTTCAGCCCCCAACATAATCAGTTCTTTAATATAACAGAAGAACAATTGCTCGCAGTTATCGAAGAAACAGAAGTGGACAAACCATCCCAGATTGAACTTTTCACAAAAAAAGAGAAAAAAGTTCTTCTGGGTTAATGTAATTTGACAATCTCGAAGATGCTGTAAACTGTCTCATTAATTTCAATCATGTTCCGATTAAAAACAAAATTTTTTTTTACTTTGCCCTACTGAAATTCAGACAATGTCATTTTGTTGGTGACTATGCCAACCGACCCAGGCCACCCCCAAAGGGCACCACCACATACGCCCGCTTCTCATTCGGGTATACACTTAATTTTGGCGGACGTGGATGAAAACCGTACATGGCCACAGGGCTCCCTGGAAAAGTCCACATCCTCCACACTTCCCAGGGACCATTTGCCCTTTGCATGTGGAGCACCCTCCGGAGAAAACCCGAGCCAGCCAACCCAGCACCCCCAGAACTACCCAGGCTCCCCACCTCTTAATCAATCAATTAATAAATAATCAATTAATAAATAAACAATTAATAAATATCTATACAAATGTACCGATATTAACAAACAACAATTAAATAGTCAATAAATAAATAAATCAGTATTTACAGTGGTAATAAATAATCAATTGGTAAATAAATAAATAATACATTACTAATATAAATATATAAATACTGCTACATAAGTAACAATGTCAATTATTAATAAATTAATAATTAGACAGATTTTGTGTTAATTAATTGGTAATTAAGCCATTAGTTTATTTTTATTTAAAAATTCAAACAATGTTTTAAATACCATTTCATTTTCAGAACCTACAAGGCTATTAAAATTGAAGGGCTTCTCTACCTCTTTATAACTAAAGATCTGTTCGAACATGGCATTTCTTGCTTCTTCATACTCCGGACAATCAAACAAAATATGTTGCATTGTCTCGGGTTCATCGCAAATATTCTTAAATTATGAAAATGTGCTTTTCTTAGAATGATTCGGCCATCACCAAACAAGTCAAGAATGAAAAATGAAGCACAGCAGTAGGAGCTTAATGGGGAAACTCCTTTAGTTGTTCCCAATTGATGTTAATGACTATTGATATAAGTCTTAAAAAAAAATTATAAATCTCACACTAATACATTCACTCTCAAAACACACTAGATGTCTCAAAATTATCAATACTATAGACAATAAAACAACCCTGTTTCCTCCAATAATCAGAACAGGGGATCCAGCCAAATAATCGCTGCTGTGCTGGAGCACCATTCTCATATCAGATGGCATTCCTACACATTCTTTATATGAAACCAAAGAATTGCACCCTTGAATTAGGTGGGACACATCAAACAACTTTTCTCTATGGGCCAGACATATGCAGGCTTTGGCCAAAAAGTTAGTATCCTGGGTCAACCTAGCCGACCTATTCTTAATCGGAGGAAAGGATGACCTTCCTTCCCTGAGTCAGATCCTCTGAGGGCCAATTCTTGACAGTGAATTATGAGAGTATCTCTGCCGATTTGGTCTATTAACGCTGCCACTTTGTTTGCCATGATAGTTAATGCAGTTTTAGCATCAGAGGGCCGGATCGTAATGTTTAAGTCTGGAAGATGAAATGTCCCGGCCTTAGCCGCCTTATCCGCTTTTTCGTTATCGACGCTCCAGTTCATGGTATTGCTTTGATAAGAGCACAACGAGAGGATCAACGGAGAACCTGTCAAGTCAGCAGTAACCACGATAAGAGTGCAGACTAGGTGGACAGAGCCACCATTGTCTCAAATCACCCAATATTCATTATACTATACCTCTAAAATGGATATTTTGTATCAGTAATAAAACTTCAGTTTGATCCTTTCTGAACATTATAGCCAGACAAAACCAGCAAGAATGAGCAAAACAGGACGATCGGAGATGAATAAAGTACAAATTTCAGTTAAGCTCGATCAAACGATCAAAATAGAAGTTTTTAAGCTCAGTAAATCAAATGTTGGGCTCTGGGTCACTTATGGGGTCTGAATAACATCAAAAAACCAGTGCTGGTTCAATAAGTGTTCACTGCCTCGCAGAACAGTACCCACCATGAACTCAGTCAATCAGACCCGCCAATTTCTAGTCGTAGACTCTTGAGTATCGTTGTGGTATTTGTGCCTCATCACATTTGGCGAATACTTGCTTTTCATTCAGCAAATACCACTTGCCTGAGTGTGAGGCAAATCAAAGCAGATCATATATTTTTTAGGCTCTTTCAGACCAAATCTTATTGACTGCAAGCAAAATATGAACTTTTAACCATACATATTTAATAAACTATAGCGCTATTGTGTTTGATTGAATTTTATGTTTAACCATTCAAAGAAAAGCACTGAAAAAATAATGTAAATTATTAGTTATTTAAACATTTTCATACCAGCAACAGTCCTTCCATAGTTGAGATGACGTGTATGTCAAGCGGCCCAAGTTTAGCTGAACAGAAGCATCAGAACCTCCTTGGAAAGGACAGAACATCAAACATGTAGCCCTTGTGGAATCGATGTCACCAATAGGTCATACTTGGTATGATACTACACAAAATGAATGTTGCATAAAAATTTGTTTAAAGGGTTCACTCTAAACCAAATTTTGTCCTTACTTTATTTATGTGTTTTAAAATTGATAATATTTACTGAGGATTTATTTTGATATGTGGTAGGATCAAGTATCAGAGTAAAAATTAAAACTGGCATAGTGTTATTTATTTTTTTTCTCTTAAAAAAACGCTGGAGTGGCAGAAAAATTTTCTTTGATGGCAAATGGTACTGAGTTGGTACTTTTGGCCAGCAGCACTGAGTGCATGCTGACTGCTGAGTTTGATCAGTGCCCGCTGCGCGCTCGAACCCCGAGAACGCTACCTCGCCCAAGTCGAGTACTCCGATCAAAACAACCCACCAGGCCATCAACAGGTCAGAATGGAGTTCGACATCGACGATTTGGAAGACGACGGAGAAGAGAGCAACTGGGACGGGCCGCCTTCTGGCAGAAACTGCGTCGTTTTCCTCGTCGACACCTCCCGGCAGATGTTCGAGCGAGAGGGCCAAGCAGCACCCTTTTTCAAGCAGAGCATAGAGGTATGCTGAGGAGGGAAATAACTGGCTGTTTTTATTTCATTTGTCTATGTGTGCAAGGTGTTTGATTTGGTTGGTCAATGCATGGACGTGTGAAGTTGCTGAGGAATGTATTTAAAAAAATGAAGTGCTTGGTACTCTTGTTTGAGTTTGTCACAGTCTTTGACAAACCTTGTCTTTGGAGATCAGTCTGTGTGGACTTAATACAGTCTTTTGTCAAACTTAAACATATCTGTTTGGTCTGACAGGGTAAATTCTATTTTTTAAAAATTATGAATAAATTCAATTGTTTGAAAAGTTTTTAGGAATAGGTATTTTTCACTTAATTCCTTGGGTTATTCAGGGTGAACTGAGCATTTAATATCAGAAAACAGATGCAGAATAAATTTTGCCAAGAAAGTTTCCAAATGTGTTAGAACTGCAATTTTATTTCTCCTGCCCACGTTTGTAAGGTGTTTGTTTTGATCTGTCAGTGCATGGGTGTGTAAAGTTGCTGAGAAATATATTTAAAAACATTGAAGTGCTTGGTACATAGGAGTACAGTCACAGTCTCTGACAAACCTTGTCTTTGGAGATAGGCCTGTGTGGACTTAATACAGTCTTTTGTCAAACTTAAACAAATCTGTTTGGTCTGACAGGGTAAATTCTATTTTTTAAAAATTATGAATAAATTCAATTGTTTGAAAAGTTTTTAGGAATAGGTATTTTTCACTTAATTCCTTGGGTTATTCAGGGTGAACTGAGCATTTAATATCAGAAAACAGATGTAGGATAAATTTTGCCATGAAAATTTTCAAATGTGTTAGAACTGCATTTTTATTTCTCTTGCCCATGTTTCTAAGGTTTTTGATTTGGTCTGTCAATGAATGGGCATGTAAATTGCTGAGAAATATATTTAAAAACATTGAAGTGCTTGGTACATAGGAGTACAGTCACAGTCTCTGACAAACCTTGTGTTTGTAGATAGGTCTGTGTGGACATAATCCAGACTTTTTTCAAACTTAAACATATCTATTTGGTCTGACAGGGAAAATTCTATCTTTTAAAAATTATGAATAAATTCAAATGTTTGGAGAAATGTATTTAAAAAAATTGAAGTGCTTGGTATTTTTGTAGGAGTTTGTCACAGTTTCGGACAAACCTTGTCTTTGGAGATCAGTCTGTGTGGACTTAATACAGCCTTTTGTTAAATTTAAATACATATAACTGTTTGGTCTGACAGAATTCTATTTAAAAAAAGGTGAATAAATTAAATTGTTTGAAAACTTTTTAGGAATAGGTATTTTTCGCTTAATTTCTTGGGTTATTCGTGGTAAACTCAGCATTTAATATCAGAAAACAAATTCAGAATTAATTTTGTCAAGAAAATTATCAAATGTGTTAAGAAGAATTGCATTTTTATTTCATTTGCTTATATGTGCAAGGTGTTTGATTTAGTTTGTCAATGCATTGACATGTAAAGTTGCTTAGAAATGTTTTTTTTTTTTTAAATTGAAGTGCTTGGTACTCTTATAGGAGTTTGTCACAGTCTCTGACCAACCTTGTCTTTGGGGTACAATCTGTGTGGACTTAAACTTAAAAATATCTATTTGGTATGAAAGGGTAAATTCTATTTTTAAAAAATTGTGAATAAATTCAATTATTTGAAAAGTTCTTAGGAATTGATATTTTCTGCTTAATCCCTTGGGTTATTTAGGGTGGATTCAGCATTTAATATCAGAAAACAGATGCAGAATAAATTTTGTCAAGAAAATTGTCAAATGTGTTAAGAAGAACTTCATTTTTATTTCATTTGTCTATATGTGCAATTTGATTTGTTTGCCATTGTCTGGACACATATTGTTGCTGAGAAATATTTAAAAAAAGTCAGAATGCTTGGTACGCATATTGGAATTTTTTCAAAGTTTCTGCAGATCTACATTGGAGATTTGTATGGATATAACACATTCTTTTGTCAGACTTTAACAAATCTATTTTGTCTGACAGGGTAAAATGATAAATAAATACAATTTCTGTAGGTTTTTAGGTTTATTTATTTCATTATTAATTTCCTTGAGTTTTTCTGGATGGACTCAGTGTGTATTTAGAGAGTAAACTTTATAAAGAAATTTATCATTACATACCAGCTTTATAATAATTATAATATAATGCTGTTTGGGTTTAGGTGTTTTTATTGAATTCCTTGAGTTATCCTGGGTGAGCTCAGCATTTATTGCCAAACGACAGATTCAGCATAAATTTTACCAAAAAGAAATACATTTTTAAAAATTTCCTTTTCTGCGTGTGCAAGGTGTTTGATTTGGTTTGTCAGTGTGTGAACACATAAAATTGCTGTGAAATGAATTTAAAAAAGTCGACTGCTTGGTACTGTTTTTGTTGTTTATCACTGTTTCTACACAACTGCTTTGGCGATCTGTCTGTGTGGATATAATTCTTTTGTCAGACTTTAATATATCTTTTAGTCTGACAGGGTAAATTTATAAAGAAATTTATAAATAAATATAATTTCTATAGGTTTTCATTTAATTTCTTCATTTATTCTGGATGAACTCAGTGTGTATTTAGAGGGTACATTTTATAAAGAAGTTTATGATTACCATTTTTGAGCTATTCTGGGCGAACTCAGTATTTATTGCCAGATGAAAGATGCAGGATAAATTTTGAATATTTTAAGAAGAAATGCTTTTTTTTTTAATTTCTTTTGTCTGCATCTGCATAGTTTTGATTTGGTTCGTCATTGTGAAGACACATTGTTGTTGAGAAATATTTTTAAAAATTCAAATGCTTGGTACTCCCTTTGGAATTTGCCAAGTTTCTGCACATTTGCATTGGAGATCAATTTGTATGTAAATAACACATAGTTTTGTAAGATTCCAACAAATCTATTTGGTCTGACAGGGTAAATTTATGAATAAATTAATTTTTAAAATGTTTTTGGGTTTAGATATTTTTCATTGAATTCCTTGAATTATTCAGGGATGAATTCATCATGCATTTCCAGATGACAGATGCGAATTCATCTTAACAAGAAATTTTAAGTGTATTAAAAAGAAATGTATTTTTTATTTTGTCAGTGTATGGACAAATGTAGTTGCTGAGAAATGTATTAAAAAAAAATTGCTTGGTACGCTTATGTGCATAGATGATGCATTTCTGTGGTTTACTCGTTTTTGTGTTTTCACTAGTCTGATAATTATAGTTGTGTTCCTGTTTTATTTGAGACTACACTTTTATTTTTATCAAAAAATTTTGTTCATTTTTGTAAAGATTTGTATATTCTTTGCAAAGACACTATTTTGTTGTTTCTGTGTTGATTCACTTTGACAGGCTATCAAAAAAGCTGTTTGTAAATAAATAAATTAATAACGATTTAAATATGTCTAGATTATTCTTTGTATAGTTAATTCACCATGCCTACTGATCTTGGCGGGATGGTGAAATATATCTGACAAATCTATAGAGCATAGGCAGATCATGATGATTGATTATGGTTCATCAATCATTGTCTCAGGCCCCAACATTTTACAATTTTTCAGTTTTGTTTAATGTGTTTATTCGGTTGTTTGTGAGTAAAATTTATTAATTGTTATGTATATTATTTTGATAGTGCTTAGTTTTAATATTTTGATATTTTTGTTAAATATTCAACTTAATTTCAAGAGACATATTACAATTTAATATACTTTATTTAATTAAAAAATGTTTTTTTTTTTTTTTTTTTAGTTTTGTAAGAATGCATTGTTGCATATATGCAAAAAAGAAACAAATGATTTAACTGCAATTGTACTGTATGGGACTGAGAAAACCAAAGGAAACCATGCTAAAGTTAACACCGTGTTGTTACAACCACTGGGAGAACCCACAGTCAAACAGATCAATGAACTGTCAGAAATAGTCAAAGGTAAATTGTATTTTGAACAATTTGACTCAAATTTTAATCCGTTCGCTATTTATAAGATGAGGGCGTAAAAATACAAAGTGATTTTGGCCATAGCAGTGGTTACAGTTTGGGTGAAGTATTGCAGTACTGTCAGTCCTTAATCAACAACAGGTAAAATTAGTCGGCTTGCGAATCACAGCTTTGTTTTAATAGTGTTATTTCAGCGGGGCCAAAGTCTATTCGAAAAGCGTCATCTTGTTCACAAATGACGACAATCCCCATGGCAGAAAACCCGAGTTTGAATTTCTTGCGAGGAAACAGGCCGAGGAATATTTCCGCCATGAGATTGAAATCAACGTCGTGGGCCTTGGAGACTTCGATTCTTCCAAATTTTTCAAGGTAATAAAACAACTGCACGGACGTAAACAAAAAAAATTACACTTGTGTATTTTTTAAGGAATTAATTCTAACTTCAAGAGGAGAATTGTTGAGGGATTGGGAAGGCAAAGACCCAGTGACCAGTTTAAGCCAAATTGGTGGACAGATCGACAAGTATGTTAAAAAATAATATATATACATATATATTGGGTTGTAAAATAAGTCCATAATTATTTAAAATTTGATTTCAATTTTGATTTTATCCTTCTTGCATTTTGAAGCAATTTTTATTTAGTCATTATTGTTTGCACACCCTGAAAAGGGATTAGTTATGCATAAGTTTTTTCTTTTTCAGAAAAAAATCAAATTTTGAAAATAAAATGTATTTTTAATCCAAAACATAATTTCCTTAGTTTTCTATAATGTAAAGCCAATGTTCTGTTAGCAGAAATTTCTCTATTTTGTAAAAGTCTGATAACTTAGATGAGAAGAAATCCTAAGCCCGGTTATTAGAGCGTTTTCATTAAAAAATTCCCACCTTTTAACTGGTTGTCCATGGAGCGAAACAAGTGAAAATCGGAAGAGGCAAAGTCTGTGGAGTAGCCTAACTCTGCGATTTTACTCTGAGCGAGTGCAACTGTGTAAGGCCTGGCATTGTCACAACATTGCATCTATTCACCAGGACTTTTAACTTCATGTCCTTGATGTCGATGACGGCGTTTCAGTCTTCTTGCAAACTATCCTTCGGTATTTAACATTTTTTTAAAGGACACATCCTCAGTGGCCTAATAGAAAATAAACCCTTCCGTTTTATTCCTATTCCAACCATGTGGTCTTCCTTGTTCCTGAGGGTCGATTCATGGATTCCCCATGATTTTCACAACGTAACCCAGCGATCGGATTCTTTCTATTGTACGATATTCCTGAAATCTCTCTAACAGCTCTGGTACAGTTAATGTGTCCTCATCCTTCAATGCCATAAATAAGTCGTTGCTTTTAAACTTGCTACAAGGCTGATTTTTGGTTTGTCTCTCTCCATTATGAAATATTGAAACCGCTTGACTCATATATTGTTATCATCATGGATTCCACATAAATATCGATCTACCATTCTATGCCCAAAATTGAACTCGTGTAAAAAGGAATGCCTTCAATGAATTTTATCTGCTTCCATGTCATATGTGTCGAAGTTTATTCTAAACTGACTTTTGGGATCAACTACCCATTTCTTAACAATCTCTTTCAATAAGGCTTTTCCCACCCTAGAGCTAACGGGGATAGAAGGAAATAATGGAAGGATGAAAGTCAAAATAAAAAAAATTAAAATAAAAAAGCAAACATCCAATAATTTAAAATGGAGAGGATGGATTTTTGTTCCTGGAAAGAAAAATCCCCAGCTCAGAATGCTAGGAAAATTGATGGCATGGTGATTATGCCTAAGAAGAAAGCACATCTGTAAGAGGCTCGCCTGGTTCAAAAGAATTTCAATTTGGATCCTTCAATCGTCCATGATGACCAAATTTAAACTTTTTTCAAAATCAGTTTTGTGCATTTGGTGAGATTGGAAAGTTGTGCTTTATTGTGAGGTTCTTTCTCCCTACCAAACCATTAATTCCAATGTCCCACAGAATTAGAACGATTAAAGTCGGCGATTGAACAAAAATGATTGGCATTGTCTAATCGCTCGAGAATCCACCAAGTTTCTTGGTTGATGCACTAAAAATTGTCAGAGCTTGGCTGGGATGTGCTACACACTGTGTTCGTATGAAATTGCCTCTTCAGATTTTCACTTATCTCAAGCTCTATAAAACTATCAATGTGAAAAACTTTACTCCTTTATTGCTCGAGAACCTGAGCAATTCAGGGAGGATAGAATTAAAAAAAAAAAAAACTTATTTTACAACCGGATAAATAATGTATCATCGGATTTATCAATTTTTCCAACAGGTTAACTGATAAGTTTATGAGGAGGTTGAGTTTTTTGAAGTTGGGAGAGTATGAGGGGGCAAAGTACCAATTACAAATTGCCCTTTACAAACTCTATTCGTAAGTCGTGAATCTTTTTGTTTTGTTAATAACAACTGATTTGACCAATTTTGAAGAGAGCCCAAAAAGTTCAAAAAATTCACTTCCAATGAATTCAACGAGTCCCATTGTGTGGAAGATGACGATTTTCAAAACAGTGATGACATAAGGCAAGCGTGCAATACGGCGACTAATGATAAAATGAAAAAGGTAAAGAAATATATAAAAGAGTATATAATAAAATTAATTTTTAAGTGGATTATATTTTTTATTTTGTTTCAGAATGGCTACAATGAAGAAGCGCCTGAAGTTGCAGTGGTTGGAGGAAAAGAGATCATCATTACAAAGGTACAAAAAAAACAATGATTAAGAAATAATGCTTAAAAAAAATTTAATTAAGAGTACATTTTGATGACAACTTGGTACTAAATAAAAAAAATATAAACCATAGACTAATTTTAGTAATACAGTAGGCCCAGTTGTCCTTCCATTTATTTTTGCTGGCACTTCCCCATCCTCCATCCTCACAACATGACCAGCTTAATCTTGATAACTTTATTACATTTATGACGTTCACTTCTTTGTACAGATCATACGCCTCCTTATTCGTTCTTCTTCGTCATTCATCCCTATCTTTTACGGCACCGAAAGAATTTTCCTTTCGAAGATCAAGAGATTCTTTTTTGTGTTTCTGGAGATCAAACTGCTTTTTATACATTTTGAAAGACCAAAATAGCTCCTAATGATTCTCCTGCTGATCTCCTTGGAGTTAATTTGGAAGCGGAGATGGATAAAATTCATTGACTCTCTGAAAGATCTTTCAGTGGGTCATTATCACTTTCTACATACCTATCTTTGGTCTTTTCCTCAGCAAAGGTAATTAATACCCATGGTTAAGGAGCTACTCTCAAAGCAAGAATGCTCCCTTCAGTTCTGGCAATATAGTGCTATGATGTCTATGCCATCTGCGTAGGTATGTATTTGGTGAGTACGGTTCCTGTGGTCTGATGTCAGCATCCCTGATTTTCTAGGGCTATATTAAACAGGAGGCAGGCTAGAGAGTCTCCTTGTCTCAGTACTTTATCTGTACTGAAATCAGGGGATGCATAGGATCCGGACTTCACATGATGTATCCATGATCATTTTGCCCACCTAATGAATTTTGGTGGTATATTCATTTCTTGCCCCGTACAGTCTTGGGTGTACATCACTATCATGAGCACTTTAAAAAATCTATAAAGATGTGATGTGTGGGCACTTGGAATTCAAAACCTTTTTCAAGAATCTACCAAAGGGAGGTCTAGTCCACTTATATTTTCCTAAAGCCTGCCTGATAGTTTCCACTCATTTTGTCGGCCAAGGGGGTGAGCAACACTCAAAACTCGATATTAAAAAATAAAATAGAATTTTAAAATGTTATTCTAAGTCTATAGAAAATTTACTAACCGTATCAATGAATTATAAAAAAAAATTGTTAATAAAACTATTTTTATTAGTATGAAAAATGATGGTATATTGGTATAAAAATTAATTTTAATTTTTTTAAATGGACTAATTGGGACTACATCCAGTTGATGATGGCATCAAGCCAAAACGTATTTGACCTCAAATTAAAAAAAATAAATCTCAGCCAGTGTGTAAATATGTCAGAGTGAAATGAACCGACTTAAGATGTGACAAAAATAAACAGCAGATTAAAAAAAATTGAGAAAAATGTATTACGAATTTAGTTATAAGTCTGTCACAAAAATTAACCCCAAACAAAGGGTAGTGTTTTAATTTTCAGAGATGAAAATTGACAACTTGAAAGTTTATTACAATTGTTATTTTGAGCAATCCTTTAATAAACTAATTAATTATAGTCCCAGTTGCGCTCCTTATTGGCAAGAAATACCAGGGGATTTGAAGTTATAGGTTTTGTAAAAACTGAAGACATTCCAATGTATCACTCGACATCTGAACCATATTTTATAGAACCGTATGGGAAAGATGAAAGTGAGTAGTTATACCTTTTTTTTTATAATTTTAATTTTTGACTTAAACAAATTTTGTTTTCTATAGACAATTTGAAAGTGTTTGCACATTTATTGAGAAGATGCACAGAACGAGGTCTTTCGATTTTGTGCTGGTTTACACTGACTATGATTTCGCGCCCAGTCGTTTGTGCCTTGCATCCGACTGAGGCCAAATTGTACGCCGAAGGGCGGGAACACCCTCCCGGATTCATTGCTTCCCGGCTTCCGTTTTCAGGTAAAAACAAAAACACTTCACCATGTACGTTATTCCAACGTTTTATATTTTTTTAAAGAAATGATGCTCGAACCCGATGAAGTTGAAGACAACGGTCAACCGAGCGAGGTGCAACTGAAAGCCGCCGTTGAAATAGTCAAGAAGACAACAATACCGTACAAGGTGGACATGTTCAGCGATTTCGAACGGCAGACAAGGATAAAGTTAATAGAGTCCCTTGCCTTCGAATACGAAGACATGGAAAAAGTCGATGACGATACAGGTTAATAATTTTAAAATTTAATGTAGTTTAAACCTTTAACGGTGATTTTCTGTTCAGACATCGATTTGGAAGATGTAAGCAATATGCTTGGAATGCTCAATGTCGAGTTTACCGAGTGTCCACACATAGCAGAAGTCGAAAACGTTAAGTCGAATAAACGGCCTGGCACTTCGTTAAATGTAGGAATGCCTAAGCTGCAGAAGCTCAACAACCCGTTGGCGATGGTGAAAAATGGCATGGTGAGCCCATACGCATATTTCGGTAGAAAAGTTTTATGATTATTTCATATTTTTTGTTACAGGCTGATAAATTAACTGTAGCCCAACTTAGAGAACTGCTAAAGGCTGAAGGATTCAAGTCTTTGTCAGCAATGAACAAGTCGACACTTGTTAAAATGGCAAACCAAAGATTTTGTGATTAATTTAGTTTTTTCCTTATTTTAGAATATGTTGTTACTTTCATTGTAAATGCACGTGCTGTATGTCTAATCATGTAAATAAATTCATTTTTGCTTCTGGTCAATGCAGTCTTTTCTTATTCCACTTTCTAGTTATATTATCGTAAAAAAATTACGGTTTAATCATATTAGGTTTGATAAAAAAAAGAGGAAAATAAACATAAATTGTGTGTATTCAATAAATATAATAGCTTAGGCAGAGTTGATAACATTAATTATGACATTTAAGAATACAGATCAATAATAAATATTTACATATTAGAAACGAGGATTTTTAAATAAGATATATACACTTAGAAAAATTTACCTATTCCTAGGAAGTGTTTTCGATGTGTAACTGCGCACACTTATTGCCTCCCAGTTAGCCTGCAATTATAAGACGATTAAACAATTTAATTTAAATAACTATAAAATGAGAATAACTACAGAAAGGCCTCGGATCCAAGAACAGCCAGCGGGATTGTCACAACTGACGCCAGTCCTTCGGCAAATGGTGCCGGATATGGTAATCGCCCAGACTTCATCCCCACTTGCAGATATATCGCGGAAAATGTCTGAAATGAAATACAATGTTAGAATGTTGTGAAACAATACCGCGATATTTACCGAAGCCCGGTTGACTGATGGGCTGCCAGTGGGTCCCCTCTGGGAAAACGGGGGTGACCTCTCTACGCACGAAAAGCTGTCCGTCGCTGTCCAATACCCAGACTGCCCAGCGAGCGACAGACACTTTCTTTACCATTGAGCCTTTGGGCGGTTCAACACTTTCCCACACATCACCTGTTGCAAAACGATATGTGTAATTTAGTTGTGGATTATATAAAATTTTCAAAAATTCACCTTGAGGGTTAGAAGTTGTGATTCCAAACCGCCAGTAAGTAGATCCATTTCTGGTGACAGCCCACACTTGATTACCGCAACCGCAGCTGATGCTGATAAGTGGTTGTTCACAGAGGATATGCTCCCAGCTATCACCCTGAGGAAACTCATTGTGACAAATCGTCTAATTTTAACAGCAGTATTTTACCATAGGGTTTGATGTTGAGACACACATCCTGAAAAGAGCGTCACCGTTGCAGCCGACAGCCCAGACACAAATAGCGTCTCTTCCTGTTGAGACCTGATAAGCAATTTAATTATTCTGTGTTAAATTTAAAGAAAAATATATAAACAGACGGGTCAATTACTTGTAGAGAGATATCAATGACTTTTGTGTTGCCGACTTCGACCCAGGGCCCAGATGTGGTCAACTTGCATTTTCTAACCCACCGCCTTCTCCTTACGTAGTCTGTCATGGTTTTGTTAGCATGGTAACTGGTCGAAAAATCAACTGCATACTGCCATCCATCACTATCGACTCCGCCTGGTGTCCGAAAATCAATGGCCCAGTCACTCACCTAAACAAAACATATTTTACTTATGCCTAATTTAAAAAAAAAATTAATCAAGGGTATTTCAACTACGAGATTATATGAACCCTCGGGTTGCCGCTGGTGTAGCCAATTTGCAAGTATGTTAGGATCAAATGCAGGACCGCTGGATTCTAACCCAGGACCGTTGCCTTACAGAGATGAGCACCGGGTCAACAAACACCGTTGGGGCCACCGACACCCCGAAATTTATCTTTAACTATTGTAGTTGAAAGTATTAAACATCCCCAGTGGTTTCCTTTTTATACATTTGTAAAATGTGAAAAGTGTTAGATTGAAGACAGCAAAATGCTTTTTTTCAGAACAGTGAACTGCATTGGTGACTGTGAACTATTATAAAAGGATTTGGATGTGTTCTTGAACTGGTGTGCCATTAACAATCTTGGCATGGCATTGACTATGAATTAACATTTAAGAATCATTTTGAGCGAGTGGTTTCTAAAGGATAGCGCAATTCGGGCTTTATTAAAAGGAATACCTCAGACTTTACAAATTTGAAAAGCATTAAAATTAACTTTTTTGTTATTGTTAGGAGTATTTTCGATTACTGTTCCTCTGTTTGGTTTCCTTGTAATTTGCAGACTTATTCAATCAAATTGGAAAAGGACCAAAAAAGGTTTGTGAAATACATCAGTTTTAAAATGGGGCTCAGATAGGAGGAAAAGGCTCATGACCCTTTTTGGGTCTTTGGTATATGTTTTTTATGGAAGTTGGTGAATGGGATGTATTATTTTCCGGAGTTATTAAGTAAAAATTTCCTAGTCCCTGGTAGAAGGAATAAAAATTTTAATATGTTTTATCCTGAATTTCATTGAAATCGTTACAGACAGTGTAGGTCAATCTCTTTTTATCAGTGAGCTTTTGATGATAATTTTGGCAGCATAGAGTTTTTGTGCTTAAATTTGATACCTTTAAGAAAAATTTGAATAATGTCATTTGTGGCAATTATTATTCAGAGATCGTGAGATGTGGTCGGGTGTGATGTAGGTTTCAGAAAAACATTTTCTTTATTGTGCCAAAGTTTCGATCTTTATTAAGATCATCTTCAGGGCTCAAAGTGTTTGTTTTCTGTGCCAGTGCCAGTGAGATATTGCTGTTTTATGTTTATAACTGGCACTCTCAACATGACACGAAGAATGGCACAATTACACAGAAGACAAACACTTTGAGTGAGTAGAAATACTTTGATTGAATAGAATATAAAAAATATATTTTGCATTGGATAAATTCACTTTTTTCCACATCCTACATGTATTTGTTAAATTTAAACAATGTTTGTAAATCCCAGGCCTTGAAGATGATCTCAATAAAGATCGAAACGTTGGCACGATAAAGAAAATGTTTTTCTGAAACCATCACAAAAACATCACACCAGACCGCATCTCATGATCTCTGAATAATCATCGATTAACAGTCACTAATCACCATACATTTGTGGCAATAAATTTGTGCTATTTCTATTAATTTTATTTTTTAAATTGTATTGTGTTATGTACCAGATCTACTTTTAACTTTGTACTTGGCATGGGTTGTACTGCTTATAAATTTTTAAAACGTATTTCTTATTACTCATACCTAAATGTTGTTTTATTAACTATTATGTAAGACTGAACTACTTGGGAATTTTCCCATAATGTACTTAATAATAAAGAATAAAATGTATCTGGCAAGTAAAATAATTTTGGTGACTGTTTTTTCAATTTTAGTGACTGGTTTAAAACAACGAACCAAAAAGATGGTGAAACACATCCAACAGACCAAACCAGCGAGAATAGGAAGGTCAGGATGATAGGAGATTAATCAAACTAATTTAAATGTAGTTTGTACAATTTGGGTGTTCGGTGTTTTTTCATTTTCAGTGAATGGTATTAAATCTAGAACCAAAAAGATGGTGAAACACGTCTGACAGATCAAACCAGGGTAAGCAGATAAGGATGATCTGAGATGAATATACGTTCATCACTCCATATATCTCACAAATTTAATACAAATTTATTTATTTTTTTGACGGGCCGATGGGATATTCGAAAATCCGCCATTGGCCCTCTCCCTTACTCATTCACCCAAACAAACAACTACATAACTATATACACAAATAAGCAAATATATATCAAATCTTGCGCAGAGGCAATATCGTAATAAATGAAGTTCTACTGAGATGCAATTATTGCTAGTTGAAATAGCAATTTATTGAATTGTGTTTGGTAAAAAAAAATAACAATGATCAATACTGTTATGTGTAGACTGATTTAATTTCAATCCAACATTTTTATCTGTTTTTGACCACTGATAATAGTCAAACTACTTATAAACTGAGAAAAATAATTTTATAATTGTGGTTTTTTTTTGTAAAAAAAAAATTAAATAAAACAAACCCATTGCCAATGTCTTGAAAGAAGGCGTGTAGTGTCTTTGTATCTTTTATGGTGGCCTGTTGAGTCACTCCAACTCGGTCTGTCTGTTGGAAGTCCTCTAGATGTAAAGCCGTTTAAAGGATTCCATCTTTGGTTTTCATAAACGTAGCAGCTATAATTGTCTGTCATCTGATTTATTCCGGCACTGCTTTCCTGCAAAGCTGAACTTAATATAGTAAAAGTTATATGAGATTAGACTTCTCGACTCACCTCCGAGGAACATACCGCCCCATCCACCAGTATAAGCGTACGGAGTGTTGTCCGCAGATATCCCCCAGGTGACTCCGGCCGCACACGTTTCCACCATGACCAAATGTCCGCCCATTTGTTTCCAGACCATCTCGTTCAAAGGAACAATAACTTCTTTGGAATTGTAAACGACTTTGTGTAATTGGACGTCTCCAACTACTCTAACATGAGTGATATTTTGTGGCTCAAGACGATGCATAAAATATGTGAAAACCATTCCATTTAACGAAATCTGTTTGAAAATATTATATCACCCATTTTATATTACAAAAAATATACGATAAAAAAAATACCTTGAATCCATCAGCTTGACAGAGTATTAAAATTGTAAAATCTCCACCGAGTGTAAGTGTAAGATGGCCTTCTTTTTCTTCAGTGCCCCAGGTATCATTTTCCATTGAGTTTCTCACAACAATTTTTTCAGAGAACCTCGGGTTGAAATGAAGAGCGACCGTCGTTTCCGATCCACAGTCTAAATTCACCGAAAACCTGGAAAGTTTCAAATTTTGGCTTATTTACTAGTATCAAAATTTTTCTTATCACAAAATAATACCTATCCAAATTTTCAGGAAGGAAACCAGTTACGACAAGTGATGAGCCAGCCGGGAAGCCGTTGTTTAGCAAATGTTTCCAAGGGATCTCTTGGCCTTTACAAGGAAGCTCTTTAGAGTACAAATCACCAGTGACTTGTTGTCTCTACAATAAATATTACAAACATATTATTTTATTAAAACATTAATAAAGTAACATTTTTATGGATTAGATATTAATTTTACTTTTTTTAAATTTTTTAATGTTCGAGATCAAATATTTGTAGAGAATGGACACGTGTTTCACTGAGTTCATTGCAAAATCAATTCATTTCATTATTCTTGAAACTATAAGTTTCAATATTGTAAATAGGTGTTCATATTTTGTTAAAATTGTAAATTATTAATAATAGTTTCAAGGTTGTGTTGTAGGGTGTATTCTTCGAAAGCTTGGCATAGTACAATGATTGTTTTCTTTCAAATTTGCTTTATCCCCAATTTTCAATACAAAAATTATAATATATTGAAAATAGATTATATATTTCTCAGATAAACTGTACATAAGTCCCTATATGTAAGTGCAAGTAGGACTTTACATTGTATTTATATTAAAATTCAGGTGACATATTTGCAAAATTATTATTTAAAAAAATACACTTTACAACTTGGTTTCCATGGATACTTGCTTTCCAATATTGAAACACTTTTGTGTGAAAATTTTGAAAAGTGCTTTTGGTAAGTCCCCCTTTTAAATATAGATTTAAAAATGCTATCAAATGTCAAACATTGATAGATACAGGTACAATTTGATAGTTTTCATAATTTTTTATTTATTTTCAGATTTTCAAATATGGTAACTTTAACTAAAGTCTTTGGATGTGCTGCATTGGCATGGGTTGGAAGCGGTATTGCTGTCCGCCTGTACCAGAGCATGAGGAGGAGAAAGAGGGCTAGGGTTGTTGATGATGAGATTGTTGAATACAGGGAGCCAGGTCAGTACCTGTTTGACAACAATTATAACTTGACTCTGTTTGGTCACTTGGTCCTCACCATGGAAGAGAAAAGTTTGCTTTATAAGTATGTTTCTTGCGAAAAACTCTTTCAACGATTTGGATGTTGGGACGTTGTCATTGCTGAGTTGAACATGCTGAACGCAGTACTTGAGAAGTTACATGACAAGTATGATGTCAAAGATATGTCAAAAGTTGCCAGCATTGTTAAAGCAAAATTGACCGAATTGTCATTCAAGGTTGACCAAAACCAAAATGTAAGTAACAACCTTATTGCTGTCTGCTTTATTCCTATGGTAATAACATAACTAATGTTTTTCTCTTTTTTCCAGGTATGAATGATTTGTGGCAGTGAGAGTCGTGGTGTGTGCTCAGTGGGTAGATAGCTACATTTTATGGGAATAATCGATCAATTTTAAAGCATGTTATGATGATCTAAAACTGGTGTTTGGAATACTGTGTAGCCAGTGTAAAGTTGCTTTACTTGATGGACTCCCAAGAAAACAAATGTAGCTATTGAAGCCAAGTCATCAGCAAGTTTTGTCTCTAAGTATTGTTTTAATGAAGGCAGAGGTGATAATTGCTATGCATGATACAACACTGATTGACTGATTGATTCAACTGAAGAAGAACCATGGTTGTTTTTGTGTGTTGAAATTAGAGGAATGGTGTGTGAAAGTTCTAGACAGGTGAGATGTTTGATGGTTTCAATTTTTGCATGTACCTAGTGAAGATGGAGTATAGCACCATGGCTTTTAACTTGGCAGAATGTTTGATGGTTTCAATTTTTGCCTGTATCTATTGAAGATTGTGTATGCACGGCATGAAAGCATCGTGACTTTTAACTTGGCAGAGTGTTTGATGGTTTCAATTTTTGCCTGTACCTAGAGAAGAAGGAGTATAGCATCATGGCTTTTAACTTGGCAGAATGTTTGATGATTTCAATTTTTGCCTGTATCTAGAGAAGAAGGAGTATAGCATCATGGCTTTTAACTTGGCAGAATGTTTGATGGTTTCAATTTTTGCCTGTTACTAGTGAAGATTGTGTATGCACAGCATGAAAGCATTGCGACTTTTAACTTGGCAGAATGTTTGATGGTTTCAATTTTTGCCTGTACCTAGAGAAGATTGTGTATGCACGGCATGAAAGCATCGTGACTTTTAACTTGGCAGAGTGATTGATGGTTTCAATTTTTGCCTGTACCTAGTGAAGATTGTGTATGCACGGCATGAAAGCATCATGGCTTTTAACTTGGCAGAGTGATTGATGGTTTCAATTTTTGCCTGTACCTAGTGAAGATTGTGTATGCACGCCTGTACCTAGTGAAGATTGTGTATGCACGCCTGTACCTAGAGAAGATGGAGTATAGCATCGCGACTTTTAACTTGGCAGAGCGTTTGATGGTTTCAATTTTTGCCTGTTCCTAGAGAAGATGGAGTATAGCATCATGGCTTTTAACTTGGCAGAGCATTTGATGGTTTTAATTTTCGTATATACTTAGTGAAGATGATGTGTGCAGGGCTTGAAAGCGTCGCAACTTTTAACTTGGTGGAGCATTTGGTGGTTTCAATTTTCGCATGTACTTAATGAAGATGATGTATGCAGGGCTTGAAAGTGTCGCAACTTTTAACTTTTTTAACTTGATGATGTGATCAATGATATTTTTTAATTTCATATCCCTAGTAGAATGTAGTGTGGCTTGCACAAATTGAGTCTAACTCGATTAGACATTCTATCACATAGCAAGTCTAAAATATTCAAACAGTTCAATCACTCTGCATGACTTGATTAACAGGGTGTTGCACGGCTTATCGATGCGTTTTATAAAGAACTGAGGCCTTTAGTTTATGTTAATAAGTAAACTCACATGGCAGAATACATGCAGTACTGCGAATATTATTTGTTATTAATAAGAAGATTGAACAAATGCTGGAACAATTAAGCATTCCTGCCACGAAATGAATTGCAAATTACATGGAATAAATCGCACACTGATGATTATTTTTAAAAATATGACATAATGCTTAGCATAAACCTGAAGCAATTCATGAGCTTATCGAAGTTAAGATTTGTGAAACATATTTGTTAGATTTGCATGCATATGATCTTAATCTTAATGCCCTGGAGGAATATGAAATTTTTGGAACTGAATCTGATTTTGTTGGACTGTTTAATTCGTAGCAAGACTATCAATATATGTTTACCCCAATATAGATGGATGTAATGAGAAAAAAAGTGCAGCGCTCATAACATTTTTTTTTTTTACAATAATGTACATTCGAGAAGTAAATTTCTTAACGAATATAATATCAAGTATTATTGCTGGGCATACGTCTACCTGCATGTTAAGCGAAGAAAACAATTTATATTTGAGGAAGAAATATGAAGAAAAGTTTCTCAAGAAAGATTATAACATGAACCACATCTTCAATTTGAACACATTTTTAGCAAATTCGCCCAGAAAAAGTATAAAGAAACAAAAACTTCGAAAATATAAAAATTTGATAATATAAAACTTTGTTTATTTTTTTATTAGTGTAACTTTTAAATCAATTGCTCTTGTTTTTACTTACACATAGTTGTACTAATTATTTATTTTAAATCTTAATATAATAATTAATAGTAAAATAACCTTTACGTTCATCACATAAGTCATACAACATGGTTTTAGATGATGTTAATGATACAAACTAATCTAATGTTATCCTGTTAATGTTAATGTTTTAGTATGTATGTTTGTGTACAAGAGTTCATGCCTACCACTTCAATTCAAATCATCCACAATGCCCAAAAATCCAAATGCCAGACTTTGAACTTAAGCAATTACTCAAGGTTTACTAATTCCCTAACAATTTTGTCCTTTCCCCATATGGTATAAGCATGAATACTGTCCCCTATTAAAAATATAAGAAATTACCAAGTATATTATTAAAACTAGCTAGTATTATACCAACTTGCAATGTTGAGTGATCAAACACATAAACATCACCGAGCTTTGTAGTTGCCCAGATGCTGGATGCTCCTGGTGGACCTTCAATGTCAGCTAGCTTCGCATGAACTGAATAAAAAATTATTACAGATGTAGCGATTGACCAGCAGTTGTTGATTGTATCGGGTTGTCCGGAAAATAATGCAGGATTTTAAGTTTTCATTAAAAAAAATCTATATAAAATATTCTGTTTACGTTTACAGGATTACTCATTTGTATGAATGTCAACACTTATTAATCCTCTTCCAAATGATATTGTTTGTTTACCTCTGTAGCATTCCGCTACTTGGAAATAATTCAGTCATCCTTATAATGTCAAAGCGAGAATTTCGTACGATTTTCTTTTACGAGTTTAAACTCGGCCGAAGCGGAGCCCAAACGGCTAGAAACATTAACCAAGTCTGGGGCGAGGGTTGTGTTAATGAGTGCACTGTGCAAAGGTGGTTTAAAAAATTTCGGGAGGGAGATTTCAGCCTTGAAGATGAAGAAGGTCGTGGAAGGCCTTCCTCTCTTAATGATGATGTTCTGCGATCAGTGGTGGAAGAAAACCCCAAAACAACTGTTCGAGAACTTGCAGAGCAACTCAAAGTCAGTAAAACGACCGTCGCTGACCACCTCAAGGCGATTGGAAAAGTGAAAAAACTCGAAAATTGGGTTCCACACTCATTAAACGATCGCCAAAAAAATCAGCGCTTTGATGTTTGTGCATCACTTCTTTGTCGAAACAAAAATGACCCATTTCTGGCCAGAATTGTTACATGTGACGAAAAGTGGATTCTCTACGATAACACTAGACGTTCTGGACAGTGGCTCGACAAAGGAGAAGCTCCAATACATTTTCCAAAGCCCCCAACTCATCAAAAAAAGGTAATGGTTACGGTATGGTGGGCTTCATTTGGTTTAATACACTACAGCTTCTTAAATCCTGGCGAAACCATCAATGCTGAATCATACTGTAACCAAATTAATACCATGCATCAGAAATTGGCAGTAATGAAGCCCTCTTTGGTCAATCGGAAAGGGCCCATTTTGTTGCATGACAACGCTCGACCACATGTGTCACGTGTAACGTCACAAAAATTATTGGAGCTTGGCTATGAAACTTTGCCTCACCCACCCTACTCTCCGGACCTCTCGCCTACTGACTACCATTTTTTTAGACACCTGGACCACTACTTACAACACATAATATTCAAAAATCAAACGGAACTGGAAAATGCATTTATTGACTTTATCAATTCTAAAAATTCTGAATTCTACTCAGACGGAATTAATAAGTTACCAACACGTTGGAAATTATTTTGATTAAAGAACATTGCTTTAAAGTAACTAGTTTCTTTTTTTTTGTTTAATACCAAAATCCTGCATTATTTTCCGGACAACCCAATAGTTATTTTTAGATTTTTAAGTGTACAATTTAAATATAAAACTCACTCGATGACAAATAGGCCATCCAGTCATCCAGGTCGACATCACCATTGAACTGAAGCTTCAATGGCGGGATATCCTTTTCAGCCGATTCGAGAGTGTAAATTGCGATTCGCGGACAGCCCGGTTCACTGCACAACGCCATGCAGACGATCTCACTCATTGACAATTGGCACTAAAAAGCACCAGGTTTGAAACAAATCACAAGGCAGAAATAATTCTAAGGTACTTTTGTAATCGTCTTGTCATTTGAAAATACGGAGACAGTGGAAGTATCGACAGTTGAAGCCTTATTTCCGATCCATTCTAGTTCCAGGCAGCATTCATCATATAATTCCTCTCCTGGGATACAGCAACGGCATATCACAGATTTAACACATGACGTCCTAAATAATTTGTATATTTTAAATTATTGTTAAAAAATGTGAATTTTTTTAAATATTACATCTCAATTGCTACTTCTATAGATTCATAGCCATTCATAGTTTTTTTATGGCAGTCTTTTATTGCATTTAATATTTTACCACGCCACGGTGCCATCTCAAAACCAGTAGATGGATTTAAATCTACAAACCTTAAATAAAAAAAATAACGTTACAAACTGAACAGCTCTTGATATTATATAATTTGTTACCAATTAGGCAAATTTTCTAAGTTTAATGAAAGGGCACCGGCTTCAACGCACGACCAGAGTGTGTCAGCCTGAGACCAACCTGGCTCACACGTTCCTTCTCTTTCCGGATAAACAACCCCATCCCATTCAGCCTAAAACAAATAAATAAATATATTAATTAAATTATTTCAGGTACATAAAAAGATCTACTTACATGAGGATCAATCTCAGGATTTGCTTCAAGCCCTAACAATGAACCTACACTTCTTATAGGACTCCAAGCAGTAAGCTTGCGACTTTGTTCTTCCTGTTTAGGCTCAGCGGATCCTCTGAACAACATAATCGTCTCGATTTGTACAAAATCATAAAAACTCTTAAATAACAAACCTATTAATAAAACAAGGCTCTTCGATGCTTCCTTCTGAAGCGGGTAGGCTAGTAGCTACTGGCTTCTGCCAATCCGGCTTCACCTTGAGTGAAGTCGGTGCTGATCGCGACTCCAGCCATTCATACTTATCATTACTTCCCAACGAGTTGTTCTACAAATCATCATAGACAATAATAAAAGTGTACAATATGAATAATATAGGGTGTCCCAAAATTAACGTAAGATTTGAATTTGCCGCCATTTTTGCAGTAAATTGTTAGCAACCCTGAAAAAAGAACAATTTGATAGCTGAGAGTTTAGGGTTAGTAAAAATGGAGCGTTATACGATACATGTTTTCATTATTTAACAATATTTCAACTAAGTAAGTTTTTCTATCAATTCTTGTCCATGACACTGAATTGATGTTTCTGGGTTTTCACCAACACACGCACTGCTTCAATATTGACATTTGAACGGCTTGTTTTTGGACGACTGGTGTGTTTACTGTCTCCAACTGATCCTGCCTCTTTGAATTTTTTAATTAATCTTTTCACAGTTGATGAGGTTAAAATACTGTTTTGACCATATTTTGTATAAAATTTTCGAACTGCGGCCGCCAAACTTTCATTATTTTTGAAATATTGTTCTGGCCTGGTTTCAAAAATGGCGGTAAATTCAAATCTTGCGTTAATTTTGGGACACCCTATACAACACCATTTACCAAAGACGCTGAGCTTTTATAATTAAAATTACTCGCGATGCTACTCGCCCGGCTTATCTGCACAGCAGCCTGGAGACTGCGCCATCTTTTCCCGGTCAGTTCTGAAGGGCAGACGCCAACTCGGAAATATAAGCTTCTGTCATCTATTCCCACTGCAAAAACCTTGAAAAAATCATTTTAATAAAAGAAATATTATTTTACTGATACAGTAATTAATTTTCAGACAATACAAGTTAAAAGGTTTACAATATTATTTATAACAATAAAATAATATTAAAGTAAATTAATTTCTGTAAAAAACTTTCGAAGGCAACACTGCAATTTGAACCTGGAACCTCTTTCCTTATTAATTAATCCAACAATTCAGTGAAAATTATTATACAATTATGGTATTATATTACATATAAGTGTAGATAGAAGCTATTATGTGAGTAATTATGTTATTTCTGCTACACCCTGAATACATTAACATTTCCATTGCTGAAATAGCATCTACTGGCCAAGATATTTATGGACTATAGATGAATATTGAATAGAATCAGCGCAATCTCTGATTTATTGCTGGTAGTTTGCAATTTTGATTCGTATAGTAATTTTTTTTTTTTTTTTGACGAGGGTTCGCAACAGCAGAGGTCATATAAACACTCAGGGTGCCGGTAAGTATGTCGGGTTCGAATGAGGGGCCGCTGGATTCGAACCCGGGACCTTTACCTTACAGTGATGAGCGCCGTGTCAACGCATAAACCGCTGCGGCCACCGACGCCCCCCAGTAAATCTATTTATGGCAATTTTATGAATTCTTTGTGACTGACTGTTAACTACAGATGATATCAGAATAAACTTTCTAAGCTGTTTTTTGTAGAGACCAGATGATATTTAATTTGTTAAAAACAATATTATCTTATGCTTCCAACTATCTAGGTAGTAACCTACTGACAGGTTAAATTATGCAGAATTTAGTAAAGTTCTTTAGCGAATCTAATTTTATCCAATACGTTCATTTACAAAAAGAAAATAGTATAACAAGAACAAATTGTAGAAGTACCTGGTCATCCGATGTTACTGAGATCATGGACATATTTCCAACCATTTCGACCCAACCTGTCCCCTTAGCAAGTTCCGCACTGGCATTGCAATCGCCCTTAACGCCTTTCCGGAACCAGACGCTCTTCTCTGAACTCACAGTCCACACGGAATTGGAACCGACAGATATATGTGACAGCTTTAAGTTGTCTGGTGGGCTTATTTCAACCCAGGTCTCGCCCAGGGGAGTCGATGGCGTCACGCCTAGCCTGATGAGAGCTTTCCCTGACCACAGTGTAGCCCAGACCATGCCTGTTGCTCCACAGCTGATACTTTTGACATCACATCCAAGTGGAGTCGGTACAACAGCCCATCTTGTTCCCTCAGGGCATGTATAGCTCACATCTTTCCTGAGCATGACCTAAATTGCACATTAATTTATAACTCTTGAGTAATTAATAAATAACTTACTCTTCCTTGAGCTGTGACTGCCCAAACCAGCAAAGAACTGTCTGAAGTATCAACCATTGCTTGCCCACCAACACTTACATCTATGAAAGGCTCCTGCATAAAAATTCATATAATATTTGGTTTTTGATAAAGAAATAACAGCTTATAAAAAACATACTTTCGTTGGGTCATGATGTAAAGGGGCAACTGCACACCAAGAATTCATGGCACAATATTTTCTCCTCCTCACCCATTTTCTCCTTCGCACGCATGAAGTCCACTGTTTTGTACTACAGAATATTGCCGGAAAGTCGACCGCGTAAGTCCAACCCTGGAAAAAACTATTTGATTAAATTTCAATTAATTAAGGTTTTTAGATGAGATAAAAAAGTCAGTGTCACGAGCGGGATTCGAACCCACGATCTTCGGCTAGATACGCCGCTGCTCTACCACTTGAGCTATCGTGAATGACTTTTTTATATTAACTAAAAACCTTAATTGAAATATATTAACTGCGGACCACTAAAACTAGTGAATTTATTTGATTAAAATTCAATTCAATACTAAATCTTAAAAATAGTGAAACAATTTACATCATGATCCAGGGGTTCACCATTGAGAACAGTCTCAATCCTCCAAGGGCTGTCCCATTGCCAGGCCATAGAAGGAACGCGTATTTTTTCAAGCGACCTCTCAGTGAGGCCATCTTCGCTTGAAAAATGGTATCGATCCGTCGGTAAAAGTCTGCTAGAAAACCCTTCCAAAGGATACCATCTCTAAAACAGAAAACGCTATCGATTATAAACAGAATTTCTTCATAAAAAAAGTATAAACGAAATTAATTTAGTGCACACCTGGTTCTCAAAGGCCTCTTCTTTTATCCTGATAGGGATGTCAAGACCATGAACATGCACATAAATCTGGCTGTCGCTGCCTACAGCCCAAAGAAAGTTGGGAACTGCAGACAGCTGCTTGAAGTCCAATCCAAGATAAGGAAATTCTCTCCAGTTTCTTCCATTAGTTGATAACCCATAGACACGCCCTTCATTGTTAACAGCAAATAGCATAGAACTTGGCATCCTGTAATTAAACCAATTAAAAAGAATTGTAACATTAAAAAAGCCGCTGTTTTTAACCCCACTGACTGACTAAAGTTGACACTAGTCTGCTTCAGCATTACACATTCATCTTCAAAAAATGTTTGGGCTCATGGCATTAACTAATCAACTAAAACCACCTTGTATGAAACTAGCCTAACAGTAAAATATGAAACTTTATTACAAAAAGTTTTTTAAAAGTTCAGTGTGTTTAGTAAAGTTTACAACCTCTAATAAATCATTCTGGACAGCCATGAGAAGCATTCCATCTTTTCCCCTCCGTTGAGACGTTGGACCATGGGCCAAGTCTGACCAAGAATAAGCTGATACATTTGCTCAACAACTCCACGAAACCTTCATTCCTCATTCAGAGCATGAAATGTTTCAATAAAAATAGAAAATTATTGAATACTTTATATCTCCTCACCTACGTCCCTTCGTCCAAAAGCAATCACTCCTGCTGAGGTCAAATATACCCTGTCCTGCTTACCAAAACACAAAGCTCCTGATTTTGACCTAATTATTTCCCAAATTCACCCTCAAAAAGCTATTGTATTCCTCACAATTGTACATTCCGCCCATTACCTATTTTCTCATATTTTGGAAATACTCTAACATCATCCTCTTCCTGAAACCTGGCAAACCAGTTTAAACATCATATCACCCAATTATCTTACATCTCATCATGTCCGAAGTATTTGAAAAATTCTACTTAAAAGACTGTTGCCAAAATTAAACCTTAAAACATATCCACCTTCCTTGAATGCAAAGACACTAGTTTGGGTGCCTTTCTTGATGTGGCACAAGCATTTGACCGCATTGGCACAAGGTCTCCTGAACAAATTAAAGCATGCCCTTCCAAAAACTCTCTAGTTCTTTCAGGGCTGACAAGGATCAGATTACCCTGAATCTCTCTGGCCGCGGGAGTACTGCAGGGCAGTGTGCTAAGACCAATCCTCTATATCCTTTATACTGAAGATGTTCCCACTAAATATACCACCCTTCTTGCATCTTTTGCCGATTACAACTTACCTCTAACCCTGATCCTGCTGGCAGAAAATCTGCAGTCTTATCACACGTATAGCAGATTGGTATTGAAAATGGAAAATGAAGATAAATGAAAGCAAGTGCATCCATGTCACAATTATTCTCTGAAGCAAATCTCTCACAATACATTACAACGTTCGTCCCCAAATCAGACAGTGTTCATTATCAATCCATCTAGGCTCACGCTTCACAATCATCATATACGACAGACGACAGGACCTAAGCAGACGCTATGGTCTATCTACAAACAATCCAAGAAATCAATGAAAAACGAACTTACAATTTACAAACTGCAGCTACTACAACTGACTTGGATATACAGTATAGAACTGTGGGGAACCGCTAAACCTTCCAAAATCCAATGTCTTAAATTCTTTCAGTCTAAAATGCTCAGATCAATTATAAATATTCCATCTTCAATACTACCCTCCACAGCGAACTTGAAATCTCATTTAATCCCAAAAAATTTACCAAGTTTCACAATAATCCCTTCCATCGCCACAATATCTCACCTTGCTCGATAGAACCCATTCGTACAATCCCAGAAGGCGTCTCAAGAGGAAATGGCCCCACGACATCCTTTCTGAGGAGTAGGTAGTGAAGTTTATTTAGTGGAGAGAAGTGAAAGAACAATAAGTGATGATTTGCTCCCCTCAATGTAAATAAATAAATAGCTCTAAATATATCGTATCCAAAATTGCAGATTGTAATAAAATATTGAAAAAATAAAAAATAATTAAAAAAGTGTAGTTTTATATTGCAAATCCTGAAAATACTGTCCTATGCTGATTGTATGCCAATTTCTTTCATCAATCAGGTTTATTCGGACTGCCTTTTCACTTGTTAAAGTTGAATATATAATTGGGCTCGTATATATTCACAAGTTTTTATATGTTACTGTATATTTTTTTACAAGTTTTATTGTTGTGTGAGTATATCAATCATGATAAGTTTTGAAAAACTGAAAATTTAAAAAAATATATGTTTATTACCATCTGTACAAAATAATACATTTTGTAGTTGCATGTATTCTATCAAACATATTTACAGTACTTTGTCCTAGTAAATGTTCTGAGGGGAATTGACAACTTTGCTCAAGAGCTAGTCCATGGCAAGGAGGGCCTGAGGCCATCTCCATATTAGTCGTCTGACGGGATTATAGGCATAGGTTTTTTGAACATGCATTGGAGTGAGTGGAGAGTTTGTCGTGGAACTTTCAAAATTTGATGGGGGTTAATTTATTTACAAAGGTTGCAGAAGTGTGTTTTGTAGAGTCAGTTTTTGTCTACACGTTAGATTTGTGTCCAAGTGGTCTAAATCATCTGTTCAGTTCCTGTCTTTTTACTTGTACGCATTGGTTCTAGGTTAAACAGCATAGAACTCAAAGTAGCGTACAAAGTTGGTTTTAGTGATATGAATGGGAATGTTGTTGAGGAAAATTATGTGAGGTTTTGTTTCAGAGGGTAAATGTTACATAGGTGGATTTATTTTAATTAATATTTACCCTTGAAAACTAGGTTCATAAACTGTGCTGGGAAGTCTTTTTAAACAGAAGCTGGTTAAATTAACAAACCCACGCTGTAAAAATGTTAAGCATAAAGCCTGGAATGTTAAAGTTAAAAAAAAATTTATTTACAGCAATTTTGCAAAAGTAGCTTGGTACTGTACACATACACATACAATCTTGTCTTATTTAATTTTCAATCATTATATCTTAAACTCTGATTTCCTTTTCTGTCATGGTTGAGGATTCGGAAACACTGGGATTTAAACTTGAACCCATGACCGCGTCTGTGACAAATTGAATGGCTGACGACCCGCTAACAGTTTCCGCTTCTTAGGTATTAAACAACATAAAACAATTTGTAGCTTTGTCGTATCCGATCATCCTGATCTGAAAACAATTGAGAATAGCCAGGCCATGAGCGAACTTGCAGAACTCGACGCAATATAATAAAATACTGATTTTTAGCAAATTTCATGAGAAATGTAATTATCGCAGCTTCTCCCTCTAGGTGCATAAACCATATAAAAGAGAAAAATGTAATTTTGTTTTAATAAAAAAAAGGATTTTTTTTTTAATCTCTGAAGTTGATAAGAAAACTAGCTTTTTGAAGGAAAAAAAACAAGATGTAAGTTGTGCTTTTTTGCTCAAATTTTATTCTAAAGACAAATTAGTCTTCTCTTGTACAACTCTTGTCTAAATATAAACAATTTGGCAAGTAACGACTTGAAAAAAGCCCAAAAAAGTCAACCTGCCAGAAATATTCAAAGAAGGAAATATTTTCTATATTCAAAAAAGGAAAAAAATGGGCATTAAAAGAAATAAAATAATTCACGAGTATCGATCTTGTAATATACCTTATCTCCCAGGGTTCCTACAGCAAGCATTTTGTTTTAAAGCAGCTTTTAAGTAGCATATTGATCTCGGCGAACGAAATCCTCGTGTTTTGCCTTTTTAATCTGACAGAACTGTCAGTTGATAATCATGAGACGGTCTCTGATGACGGACGTTGTAAGATGAATGATGTACCAAGAGTTCGGCTCCAACTTGCCTATCGTCTTATCAACTTGGAAGCAGCACTGGTTTTGACACTTGGCACTTGCTAAGAGCTCCTCCCTGATAACAGCAAAAAATGGCATGTTCATCTTGTTCATAATATATTTAATATATAAATATATTTATTTTAAATTCTCCGTTTTAATATTTTGAGAAAAATTATACATGAGATAACGCACAATCAATAACTACAAAATCAACATAGAATTATGTTGGAGTTCCAAATGAATATGTCTCAGACGAGAAACATCTCAAAAGAATTAAAAGTTTAGAAACTATCATTTGACTAAATATATAATATTTGTTTATTTTTAATAACAAGATATTAAAAAATGAAAGTTACCAATCGGTTTTTCAATTTTTTAAAAATTCCAATCAAGTTGGATTCACATAAGTGACAAAAAAATGACTGCCAGTCAAGCAAAACTGAAAAATTATATAATTATTATGTGTGTATATATATTTTGTGAATATATTGTCAACACTTTGCACATTGGATTTCAAAGTTGGCCTGCGACTGGATGAATTTTGATTTGTTAAAATGTTTTAGCTAGTTCACTAACGCCCAACCTTGCTGAGACATAATTTACATCAATATGTCGATTTGAATAAAAATAAATGAATCTATTTTGCTATAATGGAAAATACAAAAACTAATATAGTTTTTTTTTACTTCAGTAAAAAAAAATTAACACATAATTATAAAGGTAATTTGTTATTATTCCATTACAGCCTGCTTTCTACATGTTTAAGTACTTGTGACAGATAGCATGAGTTGTAAAATTAAGAAAGTTTTTTTATTATAATGAAATAAATAAAAAATACTATTAATTTAGGAAAAAACTGAGAAACTTAATCTCTTGAGTTAAGAACGCATGAATGTATAAAGTTTTTGTAACTGACTAAAGTTCTGAAATTACTGATATTAATTCTATTTTCATAAATAAATTTAAGTACCCTGTTGTAAGAAAAAATGTAGTATTTAGTTGTATTCTTGTTTAGTAAATCATAGCAATGGTTTAATCATATGTGATGTAAGTTGTTACTAAATAATTTATATTTAAACGTATAAAGGCAAGAACATTTTTTTTTAATGAGGATCACAACAGCAGAGGTCATATGACCCCCTGAAGTTTTTTAAGAAAAAAAGCTTATTTGTAAATATGGTTTGAATGCAGGGCTGCTTGATTCAAACCCAGGACCTATACCTTACAGTGATGAGCACCGTGTCAATGCCTAAACCTTCATCATCACTGATCATTTTAAAAATAATTGTTTAAATTTCTTATAGTAACTTTGTGTTGTATCTCCTTGGTTTATTTTAAATTATTTTTATTAGACAATATTTAGTAACCTTTAGGGTGCTTAATAAAAACTTACTAGTTCTTCCCCACACTGAAATCCCATAATTGGCCTTGCTAACGCAAAATAAACTGATTTTTAGATTTGATAAAAGTTGCACTTTTAAAAAGTTAAAAGTTGCAAAAAATATGTAATGATCTTGTCGCAATACTTGTACGAGTATGGCTGAATTTGTGTTAATTGGGCCATCTTACAAATTAACGTCGTCATCTGTATTACGTTATTGTATCTATGAATGTAAGTTTGTTATGTCGAATTTTATTAGTTTTGAGGTAGGAGTAAGTTGTATATCTTTGATTTTTATTTTTATTAGGTATTAGATATTTTATGTTGAATTTCATTAAACAATTAATGTATAGTGTTTAGTTTTGCGTGTGTTTTGAATAATTTTGACTGGTCTTATAGGTATATTTTGGGGTACTGCGAGTTTTGGTGGCTGTGGGTTCATGTTGGTGCATTTAAGGTTTATGATCTAAAGGCTTTGTTAATGACATATTTGATTTTTTTTTCTGTGTGTTGTCTTTGTTGGTTTTTATTCAGTTAAAGTCTTTATAAACTTTTTAATTGATTTAATAGCTCTGCATATTTGTTAACAATTTTTTGGTATAGTGTTTGTCATATTATGTTTATGGAATCAATGGATATAATATATTTGTTATGACAAATTAGATATAGTTTGGACATAGTTGTAATTTGTATGTATTTGATGACTTATCTTGTGATTACGTTTTATGTATTTTTGGGGGTGCCGAGAATTTTGGGGAATGTGGTTTCACGGTCATGTGCTTTTTAAAACTTCATTGCAGGGTCTTTTATGGTATTTATTCATGGAAGTTTTGTAGAAAATTGCTAGTTTTATCATGTAATCTGATTTGCTGCGTTAACAATGGCAGTTGTCTTGTATGGAGGGTAAAAAGTTTATTGTAGTTTCTACTTCTATCTTTTGCGTGAGGTTTTGTTATGTATTGGCTAATTTGGATGACTGGTCTTCCGGTATGTTTTGTTTAGGTTTTTTTATGGGAGAGCTATTTGTTTTGGTTAATTAGTGTATGAATATAAAACATTATAAAACAAACTTAACCATCTTTAATAGGGTGTATTACCTCCTCTTGCTATTATTACACTCTATAAACCTCTCAGCATACTCCTAATTAAGCCTTTAACCTCTTGAGGAATTTCATCCCAAATCTCACTTATGTAACTTTCTGCTTAGCTAGGGCTGTAGGAGGGTTATTTCTTTGTTTTAGCCGACGTCCGAGCTCTTCCCAAAAGTACCAAATGGGGTTCAAATCAGGGGGGCCTCTTGGGATGTAAATGTTGACATCTCAAAGGTACTGCATAACACTGGTGGTGACAGTTGGTCTTGTATTATCTTGTGTAAATAAAAATTGATCGACAATAAACAGAGCAAATGGCACTACATATTCCTTAAGAACTGCAGTGGGTAGATTTCTGCATTAAGTGACAACCTATTAATAATGTGTACTGGCTGACGGTCTTAATACCATGCCATAATAATACTGTTTTTTATTTTTAACTCTAAATTTTTTCATTTTGTAAATAAAGTATATCTATCTATATCCATCTATCTATCTATCTATTAATAATGTGTAAATACGTTTTTCCCTCCAAAGAAATTCCATTCCATACCATAATTGAACCACTTCTGAATGATCCTGTTCTGACAATGTTGGCTGAAGAGCTCTACAGCTCCTTGATAAACTAGAAGAGGTCCATTTGGTGGATGAAGATAAATTTGGACTCGTATTGAAACAAGTCATTCATTACTATTTCCGTCCAATATTGGTGTCCCTTGCAAAAGCACTCCCGATGATGGTTTCTTGTAAGTGCTCGACCCATTGCTAGCCTCATAGACTTACTTCTGCAGTCTCCTTCTTACTGTCACACCCTGCACAATTGAAGTCTTTGAGATGTTTCAGAAGCATTGGAAAAGCAATGTCTCAAAGTGTGAAATCTGATAAATCGGTCGTCAGCCCTTGGCTCTTGGGGGTTCCGATCCTGGTCTTCGAGTACACCTTGCAATCTCCTGGTACTACTGAATGCCTGACAGCCGTAGTTTTAGGCAAATCTAAAACTCTTGCAGCGAAACGCTGATTTCTTTCATCCTCCTTTGCTCGTTGATTATGGGCATTTTTATAATAATTTTAACCACCAACACAATAATGAATAAATGCATTTTTAAAGGATTAAAAGCTCTTGTGTGGAGATTTTAAAATAAAGTTATGAATTAACCGGCGACAAAAACAAATACTTTCTTATTACGTCTACGTCTAATTATAATTAGAAATTATTTTTTAAAGTAGTAAAACAAAAAATATCACCAAAACATTGTCAAATTAAAAAAGTAGTCAAATTTCATAGTGCGCCTCTGTTTTTGATTCTTCTCTGATCGAAATGTTCCAATTCGTGGTTGTTGGTTTTAGCATATCGATTAGAAAGTTGTCATATTCCACCTCTGATTCAATTTTCTATCATTACAATCATATCATAATCTTTTCTATACTTAAATGAGATTTTTTTAAAATGGATTATATATAGCCCAGGCGATGTATAACATTGTGCAGTAAGAAATCCAAAATCGAAGCCCTAATCTTTCAATCCAACACACGTTTTGAGATATACATCGCTGTATCCTCCGGCAAATCAAATTCTTGCCAATTTTTTTGGGTTTCAGTGTGTACTTCATTTGTTAAACCACTACTGGACAACTCACCTTTAAATCTCCCTTTAGGTGGTAGGTCAGTTTCTTTCGGTTCATCCCAAGATTTGGTTTATTCGTAAGTTGTAAGGAAATATACATTTTTTAGCCATAAGCATAATGAAAGGTTAGTAAATCTGAGGCAAGATTATGAATTCTGGTGTGCATAAAACGTAACGTATCTAAGAATCTTAAATATACTATTATTTATGTAATGTGATAAATTTATTTTCTGCATTAGGAATAAGGCTTATTTTTTATCATCATAAAATAATTAATTAGAAAATGACTGAAAAAGCTTAAGCGGGGAGCACACTTAACTTATGCGACGCTACCAGATGCTACCCGTCTTGCCACGTTTTGATAGGGTATGGACATTTGTTCTTAATGCATAATTTTGAGCAAAACCATGTAATAAATTGTTAGTTAAATTTTATGAGCACAACCATGTAAGAAATTGTTTGTTAAACTTAGTTGTTTTAAATAAAGTTATTCGGGTGTTTTGATAAATTTTCTGCCTAACCATCATAATTAAATAATTTTTATAAAACATGAATCTTTGATCACGTTTAATTTAATTTACATTAAAATACGAATGTTGTAATTAATATAACGACAAAATTAAATATACTTAGTTTGAAATAAATTAAAAAAATATGAGTGTCTTGTTCAGACGCTACTCGTCGAAAATAGTGTAATTTTATGAGCAAAACCATGTAATAAATTGTTAGTTAAATTTTATGAGCAAAATCGTATAATAAATTGTTAGTTAAATTCATTATATTAAAAAATGGTATTCCGGTGTTTTGATCAATTTTCTACCAAACCATTAAAATTAATTTTTGTAAATAAAAACTAATGAATTTTTGATCTCGGTTAATTTGGTTTATTTGAAAATAAATTTGTTGTAATTAATATAATGACAATAATACATGTAGTTCGAATAAAAATATGAGTGTCCGGTTCTTTTGTCTTCGGCTGTACTCGATGCTACCCGACGAAAATCTGGACAGTGGGAATCTAATAATGTGCACGGAGGTAATACAATCTTATGGAAAATTGGATTTTGGATTTGCGTCGAGTAGCGTCGCATAGCGTTGCATCGGGTAAGTGTATTCCCAGCTTTATGTATAAAAAATGTAATTAATGACAGGTTCCTGAAACGGATGTTACATTGATTGTGGTCAGAACCTCTGTACTCTCCTGTTAAATGGTCATGATCGTTAACCTTCATATCACCAGGGTTAAAAGTTAAAAAAAAATTGGCTTATCTATATTCTTGAATTTCTACATCTATCAATGGATTCATAGGTAATGTTTTCGTGTAAACCGTTTCAATTTCTTCAGAAATTCATTTCAAATCTGTGAAGTGTAGAACTATGTTTTTACCGCGATATAAATGTGGAGTTTCAAAAGAAGTAAGTCGTTTTATTTTTAAATTTGGGTCTGTACACGAAATATACATCAAAGCTCGTGGGAACATGCCGATGTATAAAAGTTGTAATAGAAGTAGAAGTTTGACTGAAGTTTCGTTCAATGGGGTACGACAAGAAATATTGGAAAATTTATAGTTATGAGACAAATTGAAGTATTTACTGAATCTCTTTGGATGTTTTTTGTTTGTAAATTAATTTGGGTAATATGACGTACATAAAACGCTTGTAACCAGTTTAAGAATATTGATACATGCTTACTTATTTGCTACTTGACAACTTAATATATGACGTGGTACTTAGGGGAGTGCTTTTATTAATTTTTAGCCTCAGCCATTTTCGTACAATTGCGATCTAAGCTAATATAATTTGTCATAACAAACACTACGCCAAAACAGCGATAATGAATAGTTATCATATCAATCAATAATCCAATATGCCACCATTTTATACAACTAATGTGTCTTTCCTCTTAATAAATTAAATCTTAAACGAAACTTCCTTTGTTCGCCAAGTCATTTCAATTGTAAAGTGCTGGGGATAAAGGAAAACAGTTTAAAGAACATCCATACTTACTTGTTTATGATGTATCTAGTATTCATGTATTTTTGTAGTCTTGAGAATGGTTTAGGATGAATCGATCCTTTTGTTCTTATGTTTTTAACAGTAAATTCACTAGTTTTCGTGGTCCGCTTGACCAATTAATATCTTTCCATTAATTAAGATTTTTAGTTGAGATAAAAAAAAAGAAATTCAAAAGGTGGGGCTGAGATGGGAAGTTAGTGTCCGAGTGGGTCGAAGTGGTGAAGCAGCGGCGTATCTAGCCGAAGGTCGTGGGTTCGAATCCCGCTCGTGACACTGACTTTTTGAAAAACCTTAATTAATTGAAAGTTTTTAACAGTAGGGAATCTATTTCTAACTTATTTACACACCCATAACAACTAGAGTTACAAGGGGGCGATGCAATTTGAAGTCTCCGTAACGAAACTAGTTGGCAAAAAAAGGAAATTTCATTTAATATTTTCTTTATCACAAGATAAGTATAAAGACAAATAAAAAGAAAGAAGGATTATTTCGCCCGTGTAAACGATTACAAACTTGCCGCAGCACATAGATTTAAGATAAAATTTTTTAAGCGGATTTCACCAGCAGATATGACAAAAAATCAGACAGTAGTCTTTTGGTATATCTCAAAATCGAGTCATTTTTTACCCTTGAAATTAAAAAGAAATTTTTTTTTAATGAACTTTATCATAATAGTTAGTGTCACGAATGGGATTCGAACCCACGACCTTCGGCTAAATACACCGCTGCTCTACCACTTGAGCAGCTATCGTGATTTCGATCCACTCGGACACCAACTTCCCATCTCAACCCCAACTTTCGAATTTTCCCTACTTTTTGCCATTTTCAAATGTCGTGTAATCAGGATTCGATTCTCGGCGACAAATGAAATGGCCACGGAGAGCTAAAGTTAAGATATACTTCGTTTTACTTATTAAATCCACTATGTTTCGTGGTCCGATTGACCAAATAACTTCTTTCGATTAATTAATCTTTATGTAAGGTATTTGTTGAAATGAAAAAGTTAAGTGTCACGAGCGGGATTCGAACCCACTCAAAAAGGAGGGAAAATTCGAAAGGTAGGTTGCGATGGGAAGTTGGTGTCCGAATGGATCGAAATCACGATAGCTCAAGTGGTAGAGCAGCGGTGTATTTAGCCGAAGGTCGTGGGTTCGAATCCCGCCCTGACACGGACTTTCTATCTCAACCAAGACCTTACATGGAAAGAATAATTAATTGAAAGAAATTTTTTTTGTTGCTTTACTGAAAGTTGTTTTTGTACTTTTGTTCTTATGTTTTTGACATTATATCTACCTTATTTATACACCCATACTAACTAAAATTACAATCCTGGCGGGGAAATTTAACGTCTCAGTAAAGAAACTGTTCAGATTTTCTGACTTTTTCGACTATTTAAGCAGCACTATACTTGTCAGAAGGAATCTAGAACCATTTTTTTACATGAAACGATAGTTTCCATCATCTGTTGCAATCTAGGCGTAAATTGATTTGAATTTATTTAAGATAAGTTTTTTATGCGGATTTCACCAGCAGATTGACAAAAGATCAGACAATGGTCTTTTGATAAAAGATGATAAATCGAGCCAGTTTTTACCCATTAAATTAGTAAGGAATTTATTTTTAATGAACTTTATTATAATAATTAAAACCGTCGATTAAATTTCTTCTTCTGAGTCCATTCTTGAGTCTGGACTGGAACGATTTCTAGCAATATTTTTGCGAATCCGCCTTTTTTCTTTCTTTGCTAATATCTTTGTTGCTTTAATGAAAGTTGTTTTTATACTTTTGTTCTTATGTTTTTAACATTATGTTATATATAACTTATTTATACACCCATAATAACTAGAGTTACAATCCTGGCGACGAAATTTAACGTCTCAGTAAGGAAACTGTACAGCTTTTCTTACTTTTTTGACTATTTAAGCAGCACTAAACTTAGAAGGAATCTAGAACCATTTTTTTTATACGAAACGATAATTTCCATCATCCAATGCAATCCAGACGTAAATTGATTTGAATTAATTTAAGATAAGTTTTTTATGCGGATTTCACCAGCAGATATGACAAAAGATCAGACTGGTATATCTCAAAATCGATCCAGTTTTTACCCATAAAATTACTAAGGAATTTTTTATTGAACTTTATTATAATAATTAAAACTAAATTTGAGTCCATTCTTGAGTCTGAGCTAGAAAGATTTCTAGCAATATTTTTGCGAATCCGCCCTTTTTCTTTCTTTATTAATATTTTTGTTGCTACGCTGAAAGTTGTTTTTATACTTTTGTTCTTATGTTTTTAACATTATATTATTTTCATTTGAATATTTTGATTTGTATATACTTCATTCAATCGTTTTGGATTTACAGTTTCTGTTTGTTTAGTAAGGCAGTGTTGTAAATTCATTTTATGAAAGGGCTTGAAATTATTTAGCGAGTCCTCCAGATAACCCATTAAAGCTGAGACATTAAACGTCGTAGGTCGAACAAAATGACATCTTTATTTAAAAAAAGATTATATCAAATCTGTCGAATGTATTTGCAATTTAAATAGACGAAATAACAAAAATGACCAAAATAAGTGTATAAAATCTCTTTATAAACCAATGGTCTTGTTTTTGTCCTTTAAAAAATCTCCAATATACGAACAACTGCATTTTTCCTTTCTAGTAACCTCAGAGTATTGATGCATTTTCTTTACATCCAAATGAAAAATCATTCTGTTCATTCAAAATAATAATAATAAAAGTTTGGGACGCTTATGTTATTTTCCGACCTTTCTCCTTCGAAAAATCTTTTTCGAACAAAAGAACAGTTACATCATGCAGAATCACTTCATGCTACACCAATCTTGAATATAATCATTAAATGTAAATTTTGACCAATTTAGTTTTTTTCTACTCAAAAAGGGGTACTTTTTTTAAAAAAATAATGGGGTAGTAACACCAAGATATCACGATGTAAAATTCCTTTATTGCTTTCTCACAATTACAGAGCAAAATCCATAATGTATGAAGTTCCTCTGTAGATTTGTAGTTTTGTCTCGTGTTTTAAGAGTTTATTTGTTATATTGATGATGATCCAAATTTTGGTTACATCGTGAAAATGTGTTCGTCGCTGGCCGAAGCCAGCTGTGGAATTATAGTTAAATAAGAATTAACTTAGGATTCAAAATAAATACATATATTTATATGATATTAATAAAATCAGATATTTGCTTGCGTAGCTATCAAATATTTTTAAAATTCGTCGGGATGTAAGTCGAATCGTGGTGGAAAAGCAGAGCCGTCCAACTGCGGCCTCACTGGTTGTCTGTGAGCCTGTAAAAAAAAAAAATTAAAATACACGTCAATGTTTTATTTATGCTACTAAAATGATTCTTTCTCTAGTAGCAATATACATGCTGATTTTAAATTGTTTTTCCAACTAACATACGTTAGTTTATATAAAAACTACCGTGACATTCTCGTTTTATTTTGAAATTACTGTCCTGAGTTGAGTCACTTTTCAAATATTTTAAATATCCAAACAATGGTTTAAATAATGATGTTAAATTTATCATGGAAATTATGGATGAATAAACAATAAATGATATAATATAACCATATCTGATGACACATTCGTAAAAAATAATTCAATTTAAAAATAAGAAACGTATTTTATTTCCATGCAAAAATGAAAGAATGGTCAACTATGAAGAATGAAGCAGGCATTAACTATTTTATGAAAATGCTCTCCAGTTAATGTGGGATGAGCATCAAGCTATTTATCACTACGGCAGTGCTCCTTACGATTTTAATGAAAGTTTATTCCATATCCAGCGCCTTCCTCTGTTTCTGACCCTGTTGGAATTTAACAACCGGGCTAGTGAGTGGGTTAATAGCATAATTAAAATTAATTTTAAATAAGAAACAGCTTAAGAGAGATTTTCCTTAAGGCGTAGGATTTTCTCAATTTACTCTAAAGGCGATCAAGCTGAAGAATATATATAGCAAGAGATATTTTAAATTATTAAATTATCGTGAAAGCCTAAATAGAGCGACTACAGATTAACAAAATTAAGGTAATATTTAATTTACGGAATAATAAAAAGAACACTTACAACAGGGCTTAAAGCTCTGGCTGCAGATCCGGCGCGTCCTCCCTTTGTCCTGAATTTGGAAACAGCCTGTTCGGCAAGGTCAGCACGTTCTTCGGCTTCTTCGAGTTCTTGTTGCGCTTTGCGGAATTTAGCAAGGTTCAAAGCGGCGATTTCTTCCTAAATTGGCATAAAAAATTACAATTGAAAAATGTTCTATTGGAAAGATAATTTGAATTTTTTTGCGAGGGCTTACCGCTTCTTCGATCTGCCTCTTGTAAGTCTTGATCTTCTGTTGAAGTTTGTCTACAAGGTCTTGCATGCGTTCGTGGTTCTTGCGGTCCTCGTCGGACTGGAAGCTGAGTTCCTTAACTCTGCGCTCGGATTTCCTGAGGTTCTTCTGGGCGTCGGCGTGCCTCCTCTGTTCTCCGTCGAGTTCGTTCTCGAGTTCCCTGACGCGCTGTTCCAACTTGGCGATGGCTTTCTTTCCTCCTTTGAGAGCGTTGTTCTCGGCCTCGTCTAGCCTGACCTGGAGCTCCTTGATTTGAGTTTCGAGGGCTTTGCGGAGTTTCTCTTGAGTCTGTGCGTGGTCTTGTTCCGCCCTGAGTTCGTCGGCTAACCTAGCCGCATCGACCATAGCCTTCTTGGCCTTTTCTTCGGAGTTCTTGGCTTCGTTGAGAAGTTCGTCGAGGTCAGCCTGTTCAAAATAAGCGATTGTTATTTAAGTCTCAAGTCGAACGGTTACCAGGATAAATATTTATACGTACATGGAGTGTCTGCAACTCTCCTTCCAATTTCCTCTTGGCAGCGGAAGCGCTGGTGGCCTGTGCGGCGAGTTCGTTGAGCTGTTCGTGGGCGTCGCCGAGTTCTTGTTCGGCCTGCCTCCTGCCACGGTCGGCTTGTTCCAGGAGGGTGCGAGATTCTTCGAGCTCGTTTCCGAGAGCGTTGGCACGTCTCTCAGCGATGCCGAGCTGTTCGCGGGCGTCGTCGCGAGCCCTCTGTTCTTCTTCAAGGGCGGTCTGGACGTCCTTGAGCTGTTGTTGGTATTTCTTGATGGATTTCTGAGCTTCAGCGTTGGCCTTATTGGCGTGGTCGAGGGCGATCTCGAGTTCGTTGATGTCAGCTTCGAGCTTCTTCTTCATGCGAAGTGCCTCGGCCTTACCCTTGGCCTCGGCTTCCAAGCTGGCTTGCATGGAATCCAAAGCGCGTTGGTGGTTTTTCCTAAAGAAATACAAATATTCATTAGCTATTGTACATGCTAAAGCCCGTCAAAGAATGCCTGTTAGGCGGACTTACCTGGTGTTTTCGAACTCTTCTTCTTTCTCTTGGAGACGGCGGTCGATTTCTTGACGGACCTGGCTGAGTTCGAGCTGAGATCGGAGGACTTTGTTTTCTTCCTGTTCCAGAGCAGCTTCGGCTTCTTCGAGGGCGGCCTGGAGTTCGTCCTTCTCCATTTCTAACCTCTTGCGCTGTTTCTCGATTTCATGAATGTTGCGTCCACCTTCACCGATTTGGTCAAGAAGGTCCTTGACTTCATCTGGAAAATCATTCACGTTTTTATCAAGTTTAATAATCAAGTTTTAAATTAATATAAAAATGTTCGATGTATTACCGGCAAGATTTTTGTTCTCCCTGCGGACGGCTTCGAGTTGCTCTTGTCCTTCTTCGTAAGCTCCCTTGAGCCTGAAGAGTTCGGTAGAGTAATTGCGGCATTCTTTCTGGCTGGCATCGAGTTCAGCAGCAAGGTCGTCGACCTTGAGTTTCCATTCTCCGATGATTTTGTCGATAGCCTTGGCTTTCTTTTCGGCAGCGTTGGCAACGGCGTTGGCACGGTCGACTTCGAGCTGGAGGTCTTCGACTTCGGTGGCAAGACGCTGTTTGGTCTTTTCCAGAGCGACGACTTTCTGGTTGAGGGATTCGATGGTTTCCTCGGCTTCCGCAAGGCGGGCTTGCAATTTGCGCTTGGCTTCCTCGAGTTCTTCAGCACGGGCGACACCTTCGCTCTCGTACTTGCTGCGCCACAATTGGGCCTCAGCGTTGGCCTTGCTGAGTTGGCGTTGGGTGTCGGCCTTGGCTTCGGCTTCTTCTTCAACCTGTTCCCTCAGGTTGTCAAGATCGTGTTCCAAGTTACGGAATTTACCGAGGAGAGTAGCGCGTTCCTAACGTCAAAATCAACCGTTAAAATGTGAAAAACTTGACTATTAAAACTAACGTCAGCAGCTAAATTTACCCTAGCTTCCTCATCGGCAAGGCGTTTGGTGTCTTCAAGCTGGGTAGTGAGAGAGATCTTCAGTTTGCTGAGCTGAGATACTTGGCTTTCGGCTTCCTCGAGTTGTCTCAAGAGGTCGGAGTTCTCAATGGAAAGCTTCTTCTTGGCAGCGTCGAAGTCATTGAGGGTCCTGTTGGCTTCCTCAAGTTTGCCTTGGACGTCGCTGACTTGGTGTTGGAGCTGCTTGGCAACTTTCTCAGTGGCGGCCTAAATCGCAATTCAAAATAATTACAAACACGGGACTTAATATGAAATATGTTAATGTCGAAAAACCACACAGGCAATGAAGGTTAATGAAATTCGTGATTATGATTGACTTTGACATAGTACATTTAAAAAAAATTATAGTAAAACAGGTTGATTCATATGAAAAGCATTGTTACTTAAATAATTATGAAATTTATTTATGAGTGATTAGCTTTGGACAATTTACAGATTTTTCCAGACAAAATTCTTTGTTATGAAAGCTCTGTCAGTATGGAGCTCTTAAAAAAACCTCAAATTTTCATCAGAAGTTCATTTTTATATCCTTGTTTGAATATATTCAAGTTCAATTGCAACATAAAAACATTAATAAGCGGCAAATTTAAAATCTGAATACGAAAAGCGTTCTTATTATTTGCGCTGAACTTTTCACGAATTCCGACAAACCTTCTCGTTTGTAAGGTGGTCAATGGATGCACGGACATCGTTGAGTTCGCACAAATACTGGCATTTCTCCTTTTCGACTCTGGGAAAAGACACAATAAATGAAATACATAAAAGGATGAAAACATGGCAGTACAAGGTGTGTGGGACACAACAGATTTGAGGGTACGCGCAAAACGGCCACTACTTTATGCACATTTGGCTCATTGAGGTTGTGTTCAGTGTTTGGTTACGTTTGTGTTCTGCCCAGTATCAGAAAGTTAATAAGTGTTGTTGAATGTTTGTGAATTTAATTTTGCAACTTGTCGGTATAGAACAACAGAATCGAATAGACAAAATACTCACTTGGTCTTCAATTTGTTGAGCTGGTCGATTTGGTCTCCCATCTCGCTGACGGCATCGTTGTGCTTCTTGCGGAGGTTGGCCAGTGTGCTCTCGTGTTGGATGTTGGCTTCTTCCAGGTCCCTGCGCAACTTGCTCATCTCGGCCTCGCGTTTCTTGTTGAGTTCGATCTGAGCAGAGGTAGCACCTCCGGCTTCTTCCAACCTTTCGCCGAGCTCCTCGAGTTCACGAGCGAGGTCAGCGCGTTGTTTCTCGGCCTTGCCACGGGCTTGCCTTTCAGCCTCGACTTCCTCTTCCAATTCTTCGATGCGGCCTTGGAGTTCTTTGACCTGTTTGGAAGATTTGTTGACGACTGATTGTTCGTCTTCAAGTTTGGCGGTAAGAGAGGCTAGCTCCTTGTCTTTCCTCTGGATGGTCTGTTCGAGTTCCTTCTTGTTCCTTTCGAGGTCAGCGACAGCCTCTTGGGTCAATTTGAGGTCGCCTTCAGTCTTTCTCTTTGCCTTTTCAACATCTCCCCTATTTTTGATTTGATTTTATTAGCTTTCTAAGTTAAAATGCTTAATATTTTAAATTTATCGGTGTTTTAATACTGACCGGAGTTTCTTTTCGCGTTCGAGGGTATCTTCCAATTCATCCAAAGTCTGTTCCAATTTCGATTTGACTTTGGTGAGGTGGTTGATTTTGTCTTCAGCAGCCTAGGAAAAAAAAAATTCGAAAGGTTAATTATGTATGAATAAGAAATAATTGATCGATCGCGTACCTGAAGTTCTTCGGCAGTCTTTTGGTTGTGCTCAGCTTGAACTTTCTTTTCTTTGTTGAGCTTATTGATGAGTTCGTCTTGGTGAGCGATCTCATCGTTGAGGTTGCGGATTTGGTGTTCTTTGCTAGCCTTGTCTTGGTCGGTCTTCTGGTTGGCGAGTTCTAAGTCTTCGATGTCCTTCTTGAGGGCTGCGTTTTCTTGTTCTAACTTCTTCTTCTGCTGGAAGACCTGGTTCCTGGCGTCTTCCTCGGTCTGGAGTCGCTCTTGGGTGTCCTAATGAAACAAGCCGAGTCAATTTTAGAAGTCCGAACGACCAGAAATACGGTTGAAGTTTATGCCGTTCTTTGAGCAATTTATCCCGTAAATTATGTCAATGAGTCATCCAGTTTATTTGGTTCGAGGTAAAAAGCGACTTTGGGCCCGTTCCAAACCGAGTTATCACATTTTTCCTGTCTCTCAAGACCAGGTGGACGTTTTACAAATTTAGAACGGGGGACCTTTTTTTAGGAATTCATCTCGATTAAACGTAAAAACGGATGAATTATTTTTTTAATACAACTTTTATTTATGGACTGCATAAATACATTACCTTCAGATGAAAAATAAAGTTTTTAGTCAAGTTTTTAAAGGGTGAGGATAAAAAAGACGTTTTTCACGTCGCACCGATATCAATCATTCCATTTCCCATCTCGTGAAAACTATATTAAGGTGAAACAGCTGCCTTTTCCACCTGCTTTCCTTGTAATTTTAACTCCTACAGATCGAAACTAGTCCTTACTGTAAAGAGTGTCGTCAGATTAACAGACACCGTTATAGACGATATTTTACGCTAATAAAACCGAAAGGGGGATAACTTAATAAAAGTCAAGGAAGAAGGGACATAAAAGTAAAAAAAAACAATAGTTCCATGTTTCTATTTCTATTTTGGTCCCGCGTCAAGCTAAATTCTCTTCAGATTTTCCGCACTAAAATACAATGGCGTAAACATGAAAATACGAAGTTAATAAATGTCCGACGGCCACCATATTTTCCCCAATTAGATGTTTCCAGCTCGATTACAGTCTCCAGGTTAAATTTAACCGGGGAGTCATCCAGGACGGGGAAATGGAAAGGCCAAAAAAAGGCCGCACGTTTCCCTTTTCAACACCAAATATACACGGGATACCAGGCTACAAACGATGTGTAAACGATCCGGCCTAGAATGCGGTCGACGCAAAAATTTATATATCCGCGGAAAGCAAATATTTCAATTCTTAGTAAATAGGATGAACATTCTAGATTAAATATTTACTCGTTGTCACTGATTTTGGACCCTTTGATACCAACTTTTACATATTTATTTACACGGTTTTACTTTGGAAAAAAAAAATACAAGTGAATAAATATTAATGAAGTTTATTTAATCAATTTAGTGGTGTTTCGCTTGTTTCGTTGTTTGTTGATGATGAACTATGACTTTTTTTGAAATATTGATGGAAGCAATAAGATTACTATGTTAAGGGTTAATGCGCAAAAGAATATCTCTACTCTTCAGCAGAGATTTTTCCAGCAAATTTGATTATATTCCGATTAATTACAAATTCTATAAACTCCGTTTAAAATAATAGGTTTTTAAAAGTAAGAAACAATTATTATTTTTGTATTATGAAGATGTTTAATAATATAATATACTGTTTTAATAATTGGGAGATTATTAATCGTACATGGTGAAGAGTCCTGAAGTTACGATTTAAAGATTTAATTTAATCCTCATTTTATTTTAAAGTCCGAAGAGTTTTTTGTAAATTTAAATTGAAAACTAATTTAAAGTGTGAATAGTTGAAATGTTCAACTTACCGCGAGCTGAGACTCCAGATCTGCCTTCTGGGCTTGGAGTTTGGCTGCTCTTTCCTGGATGCTTCCAAGAGTGCCTTTCTCTCCTTCGAGGTTCTTGAGAAGGTCTGTCTTCTCCTGGATGAGCTTGGCGTTGAGGGCTTCGACTTCCTTTCTCGCTTTCTCCTCTTTCTCCAAAGCGGCCTGGGTCTGGGCGACGAGCTCTTCCAGTTTCTGCAATTTTTCAGAAGAGGGAACGTTATTTACTGAAGGCGAGTGAACGTCCGGGGAGTCCATGGTGACTGTGGTGCGGAGGGAGCTGGAGCGAGTCTGACTGCGACCCCACAGCGTCGCTCCCCCTCCACAGTTTCCAAAGGGGTGGCTCACCCTAATCGGACAGGCTAAATATGGTGACTATCTGCTTACCCGCATCTCCTCCTCCACGTTGGCGACGTTGAGGAGAGGCTTGACCTTGGTCCACATCTTCCACCATGGCCAGGTTCTGAGCTGAAGGTATTTCCTCAAGTTGCGCTGGACAACTTGGAGGGCTAACCTGTGTTAAAGAAAAAAAAAACGAACAACGATTAAACAATTTTTAAAAAGTAAATAAGTACATAAATAAAATAATTCTAAAATTATCCTAAGGGAAAAATAGCACTATATTTTTTTAAAAAGAAGGAAAACTGTAAAAGTGAGTTAAATTTAGTATACTACTATTTTTTGTTTAAATCTAATATGTACAGGTAAAATAATTCTAGATAAAATCTAAAGTATTAAATATATTAAGGATATATACTACAAGGACTACACTACCTGAAGATCCATTTCGAAAAACAAAAACTCAACAATTACGATAAAAAGACAATATGTACAAGATATTCAACAAAGAGGAAAGGATTTAACTGTTAAGAGATTATTAAATTAAATAGAGATGTGTAATACGAAGCCGTGTATTTTATTTACGAACTGTTGCTCTTCGCTCAACTCCACCTCCATTTAGAACGACGGTATCAAGCGGAATGAATCTACGAGAATTTTTTTTACACGTCCACCTCGGAATACGACGGTAGAAAGTGTGTAGCTATTAATATTTCAATGATGATGTACCCCGCCGTGAATATATCAGCTTTAGGCGGCTTTGGGGGCGACTTTTTTTGGATAACCGCCTGCTGGAATCTAAATATAAGCCGGGGAGATCCGAATACACCATTTCACGGAAATTCCACGGAGGTGGATACAATTTCAAGTCTAATTATGGAACCGTCCATTCATCTTTTTTTTCTCATTTCTTCACCTCGACCCCGTGTCCCCGACATCCTACATTATTTATTTAAAGATTGTATTTTATTCAACTGTCAAATATAACCGACGGTTCTTAAAATACAATCCGGTTGGTATGAAACCTCGACTTAAGAATTCACATAATTTAATATTAACTTAGAATTTTTATACACGAAGATTTCAAAAGTAACTGTCAGGGATTTGTCTATTTCAGAAACAATTTTTTAAATATTTTCTATCTAATTTTGCACTTCCGTCAATTTGAAATGAACAAATAACTATTCAAAAATAAATATACGAAATAGAATTTTTTGCCTCTTTCTAATTCAACGTATACCAAATTTCAAATAGTGTGGGGTTTTTTTGCTATATACTTTTAATAAAAAGCCTTCTAAAGTTTTATCATTCAATAAAATTTTAAAGTAATTTACCTAAATTGATTACTGAAATAATTTAAATTATTAGATTGGTATCTGTAATCATAAACGGATGAGTAGAAAATAATTATAATTCAATTTTTTTGCTTTTGGTTGTAATGTAAATATTGTTCGTATTCAAATTATGCTAAATGTGAAATCGTGATATTTATTTGTATAACAAAGTTAGTTTTACCGTAAAATAACGTTTTTTTAGTTTATCTATTTATCAAATAAATTACAACGAAAGAAATCTTTTTCAAATTATTTTATTTTTTTAAATAAATTAAGAATCATTTTAATCACGGCTTATTCAGGAGGAACATCAATTGAATCACTAAAAAACGTTTTACTAAAAAAAATTGAACTTATTAATCATATTTTTCAAACGAGAAAAATTTATGTTATGATGATTATATTAAGATTATCCGAGCAGGTTTATTGATTAATCGTGGGATTTGTCAAATCATTTGATTTTCTAAACGGATCGAATTTTTTTTTTGTTTTTTGTAAGGGCGAAAGGAAAAGTATGGACAAAGTGGAATTTCTATATTTAAAACCTGAACCGTATTTCTGGCTCTGTGTTAATCCCGAACGGTTTTTTTACATCGGCAGCTTGAAATTTATTTGAAATTTCCCTCTAGGTTAAAAAAAGGAAAGATACACAATATATCTTTTAGCTTGGTTGATAAAAAAAATAGTTGATCGCATTAATTTTTTCTCGACAAAATAATCCATTGCTATCGTATATATTTTTTTTTTACATTTTATCCCCCGAAGGGTCTGGTGATTTGCCAGTATCTAGAAAAAGAGACCGTCAAGAAGACTCTGTTCCTGATGTTCCAGCCCGATAATCTTTTGGCCCAAGCACAGATGAGGATAGATGATCTTTTCCCAATGAGTTCAGCCATATTGAAAAAAAAAGCCAAATTCAACGATTAAAACCCAACGGATTATTAACCAAGATATTAAGATTTAATTTAAAACAAGTCCGTCAATTGTTTAACAAAATTTTATAACGAAAGATCTCACAAAATGGCGAAAAATACTGGATAATAAAAAAAAACTCAAATACTGCTTAAAATCTATTTTAAAATAATAAGCGATCGCTTAATTTGTTTCAGCTTTTCACGCCATCATCGGGGACAGGTCTATATGAGGCGAAATCGAACATAAATAATCAGGTAAACTTGAATGAAATAATTACAATTTAAAGTTGAAATTTGAAACGTGGATAGTTTCAATGTATATCTGTAAATTTTAAGTCAGCTCAACCTCAGTCTTCCATGAAACTATCCAATAAAACCGAACATCACGCTAACTACTGTTTTCGGACTTTTTGTTGTTAAGACCTGAATATTAGGAGAATTTCGCTAGTTTTATTACTAATAATTAATCTATAAAAATAAACCAAGTAAAAAGTATCAAATCACGTTTAAATCATGAACAAATAAATCGGTTGATTCGTCATTAATATCAAATCTTATACCATATTCAAATCCGTGTACGATTACTTTTGTATTTTCGTATGCTTCTTTACATACAGTTGTCTGTACAATAATCATGTTTACTACAATGTTTTTATCATTTTTTTATGTATGTTATTTTTTAGGCTTAATACTTTAGGCTTTATACTAAAAGTAATAGTTAAAATAGGAACTTTTGTGAATTTCCTGGGACCTTTTTCATTTTTTATGAAAAAAGTAGTTTTAGCAATCTTTTTAACTAGCTTTCTATTTCTTAACATTAATAACATATTATTAACAAGATATATGCCCATTGTTGGAGTTTGTTTGCTTGTGTGCTTTATTTCTTGTTGATTAATTGTGTTTAGCCCGACCAAAAGTTCCATTTCTATTGTTTTTTGTAGTCTATTTCTTTAAATTTGTATGAAAAAGTTTGTATTACAAATTGTACAAATGTTTACTTTAGCCTTCTTTCTCAACTATCCTGCTATATCTTAACATTTATTTTTATCATGTAATTAGAGTGAGTGTGTTGTTTTGTTTTGTATAATTGTATATCTACTGTCTTTTGTAGTCCATTTTTTAAAAATTAATATGAAAATGTAAGACAGGTTAAATTGTCCACAAATTGTGCAAATGTTCATTTTAGCAATCTTGCTTGACATTTACTTTTATAATGTCGTTGGTTTTTTTTTTTTTTTTTTTTTTTTTGATGTGTAATATTTTGTTTTGTATAATTATGTTTTATCAGGCAAAAAATCCTGATTGTTTTGCGAATCCTTTGGATTTTCTTTCATTTTTAATATAAAAAAAGGAAGTCTTTTCAGAGGATCTTCGGAAGAGGTAAAACCTCTTCCGAAGATCCTCTGAGAAGACTACTTGTATCCAGCAGGTCGATAATCTAGTTTCATCGATAAAAAAAGGAGTTTTAGCAATGTTGCTTAATAAAATTCTATTTCTTACATTCATATGTGCCTATACTGCTGTTGGAGTTTTTTGTTTGCTTGGGTGTCATTTACTATCTATTTTATTTTGTGGTCTATTTTTTTGAAATTCATATGAATATGACTAAGCTTTCTATTAACACTTTTTTTGTAATGTGATAGGAATCTTTTGCTTATATGTGTGTGCTATTATTTTATATTGTATTTAATTTTTTGTAAAGGCATTAAAATATACTATAAAAATATAAACATGACAAGAGTGTTGAGAGATACAAATTGACATTTTGCTTATTACTATTGAGTTTGTTTTTTCAATTTAACCAAGAAATTTTGTTTTTCCTTATCGTTTAATTTCTTAACACTCTTGAGATGGTTTAAGGAATATTCACGGTCATGTACCTCTGTTCTTGGAGCTTCTTGTATTCCTTTCTGGTGAGGTAACCACGGATGTAGGCTTGCATCCATCCGATGATCTTTCCGAGCCTGTCGTCACGGAGTTCTTCCATCTGACCCAGGACACCGGCCCTGAAGAAGACCTGGAGGAGGGAAAAAAGCGTATCGTGAACCGGCCGTAACGAGCTTTTCCATTATTTTCCCTATCCGTTTTCTCCGTATTACAAAATCGTGACATGTAGGTCACACGTCGCCGAGCTTCGGAGACGGGAGAGGAAATTAGCGGCCCGTTATATATAGAGGCAAGGGGAAAAAAAGAAAAAAAAACCACCACACCTGGACCGGGCATTAATAATATTCAACGGCGAATGAGAAATTATTTGACGCAATTAGAAATGGGAGAAAAGCCAAACAACTTTCCTTCATTCATACCGTCCCCGATTGGCAAGGCGATCATTCAAGATAAACGAAACAATTTTAATTTAATTCTAGAGATAAATGATCTTTTAATTATTTTAACGAACCTTTCAAAGTGGTTTTTTAAATTTAGATATTAAAATTTAACACCGAAAATAGACTTACCACTACATTTTTAATCGAGAATTTAATTATTAAGGAGACAAGCCTAATTGAATATTCAATTATTTATTGACCATTTTGATTTTATTAGCTCGGTAATAAACTGAACTATTGTTTTATATACATTTTTTATTTAAAAAATGACGAATTTTTTGTAACGTTTTAGTCTTTTATATTACTTTGTTATGATAATTTATCATTTGAAAAACCGATAATTTATCTACATAAAATTTATTATAAGAATTGTAAGAATCAAAGCAATATTAATTTTTCCAATTTTTTAATATTTTTATTTATTTTTTTAAATTAATTCCTTTTTTTTACATTTTTTTACGAGGGTTCGCAACAGCAGAGGTTATATCAACGCTCGGGGTGCCGGTGTTTTTGAAAAAAAAGCGCATTTGTAAGTATGTCGGGTTCGTATGCAGGGCCGCTGGATTCGAACCCGGGACCTTTACCTTACAGTAATGAGCGCCGTGTCAACGGTGAACCGTTGCGGCCACCGACGCCCCCAATTTTTACAATTATTTTGAGATAAACTTGCTAAACCATTTTGGCGGCTCAGCCAAGTGGAAATAAGCCCGTACTTCTCCGGCTTCTGCCTGATTCTAATCATATTTTAAATTTATCGCATTGAAAATCAGATTATTTTTTTTCTAACCTGCCTCATTGATTTTTATTGAAAACAACACAAAAAAAACTAAACCTTTTGAAAAATGCACACATGTTAAATTTTAAATTCTTTCAGACAATATAAAAACTATAAAAAAATTAGTGGCAAAAGAGGTTTATTATTTGAAAAAGGTGGTCATGCAAGTTGCAGATATATTCAGCAGGTACCATGAGCTTCTTAGTCGAATTTAACGTCGTTATTACTTGGACACTGTGTTATAGAGACAATTCCAGCTCTGACAAATTCATTCAATTAATTTAAATTGAAAAAAAAATAAAAAAATTAACAATTCGTTATTTCTTTGAAGAAAGAACAAAAAAATTTCATGTTATTTTGAAAGTTTTAAGAAGATTTTATTAAAAAAAAAGAATTTTAAATTAGCATTTAAGTGTTGGTTATTTGATTTTAAAGAAGAAAAATTGACAGTTTTCATGTTTCGAATTTGAATATTATTTACATAAATCGTTATTTGCTTATTGTTTTATTTTTTTAATTTATTTTATTTTTTTCGAGTTTTTAGCTGTTATGATTTAACGTGGACATGAAGCGTCGGAAGTCGGCTTCCGAAAATACCTTCGTGTGTCCTAAACGGTATTGTTCCGGTTCGACTCCTGCACCTTCCAGGATGACTTTGGTGGCCTCCTCCGGAGACATGGAGTCTCTCACTCCTTTAGCGTAGAGGATTTTGTATCTGGATGGGATCAAGTAAACATGCAAGCAAAGGATATAGGCGTTCTAAACAATATAGAAAAAAAAAAAAAAAGACTTGTCCGGCAGCGTCGTGGCTGCTTTGGAAAGCCCCAGGGGTTCAACTTCTACTGTTTAAAATTCAAATGTCAAAATTCAACACAAATCTACCACACGCTACAAGATGGCGTATTTCAAAGGTTTTGCACTTTTCTAAATTTATCTACTACATGCCTTGGTGTGACCAAGTCGGTACATATCAGGATCCAATCCGGTAGATTCGAGGACATGCCCAGCAGCTTTCTTTTGGTCAGGTTCTTTTTCCACGGCTGCAGGGTTAAGGATCTTGTATCTAACGCACAGTTACCAGGGTAAAACAAGGTTTCAAAAATATTAATTCTATGGCTATGTAAAAAGGTGAATGTTGTGTTAACGAGTTGGTCTTTTTTTTCTCTTGGGGTGCTACAGTGCAGGTTTTTGCAAGATATCAAACGTAGACTGCACGGTAAATGTCTATACAGGTTTGTACGCATATTTAGTGGTAGTTGGGAACAGTGGAAGTTTTGAAGCGATTAGAGTATGGGCTACAAGGGTCTATGCAACTGGTTCAACTACATGGTAACTATTTGTGCATTGGTACATAATCTACTAGGAAGATTGTTTTTGGGTATGTAACAAAGACTATATGATAATTATTGGTACATTTTGGTATATATAATCAATGATGGGCTTTTGCGATTGGTACTCAAGTTGCAGGATGAAGTAATATCGGTCTGGTGTATATTGCGGGAGTTGGTGCAACAGGGTAACTACTGGTGCATAGGGACATAAACTACAAGTTAATTTTTGCCGGAGTTAATGCCTGTTAGGTACAGCCTGATGATGGTGACCTTTGCACTAGGTAAAGAGACTACAGGGTAACTACAGGTACTCTACAGTCTATACCATTTGCAATGGTGCATAAGCTACAAGGAGAAAACATATTGGAGTCGGTGTGTAATCTGAATATATGGATCTGTGGATAGTGGTGTCGTTTTGGTTTAACCAACAGGAATAATTCTTTTTGAAATTGGTACAAAGGCACTCTTGGTATGAGTACGGCAAAAACAAACTTGGAAATTTTATTCGGAGTTCGTGCATAGACGTAAATAACTATTGATGCCATTCAGTGTACAGCCTCTAGATGTTCTTGTTTCAACTAAAAGGGCTAAAAGGCAACATTTCATGCAAAAGGTGCCTAGTCTACATAGAGGGTAAAACGAGCTCTTTCTGCAATTCGTACATAGTCATCATAAGGGATTATTAAGGCGAAGGAGCATAGACTACATGGGAACTATTTATGCAGTTGGTGCATAGTCTACAATGGTAATGGTTATGTTGCTGGTTTATAAGCTATAGGAGAACTATTTATGCAGTTGGAGCATAGTCTACAATAGGAATGATTATGAAATAGATGCATAGACTACATGGGCATTATTTATGCATTTAGTGCATATTCTGCAAGAGGAATTGTTATGGTCTTGGTACAGAGAAGCCATTTATGCAACTGGTGCATAGTCTCCAATGCGAATTGTTATGGAATTTTTGCATAGGATACAGGAGAACTCGTCATGATTTGAACATAGATTTCCAGATAGCTCTTGATGCAGGGTAAAGTCTATGGAGAAACCTTTATTTTAAAGCAAGGGATAATCTAAAGGTCCTTGTTATAGTTGGTGCTATAGCTACATGAGATTTCTATTGGCGCACACGCAGGGGAACTCTCGATGCAGATATGCCATATGTGCAACTACAAGGGTCTTGCAATCATGTAAAGTCTTCATCATGGTGCAATCGGGTGTCATTCTTTATAACGATTCTTTATCTATATACAAAGGTGATTTGTTGCAATTTGGGTTCATTCGTGTCAAAATCAACAACTACTGGGGCACGGGGGTCAATCGACTAGCCTTTGTGTGTCCGATACGGTAGCTCTCCGGGTCTAGTTCGACTTCCTTAAGACACTTAGCGGCAGCCGTTTTTGGATCGGGTTCGTTAGCCATTGTAGCAGGTGCAAGGATCATGTATCTTTAATACAAAAATCAATGTTCATATATCTGTGGTTAAATGGACGTGGAAATGATGATTTTGGGTCTATCTCTGTAAGTGAAACTATTTAATTATTTGAACTAATAAACAGTTAAAATTGTAAAATGGTTCACTGTAAATGGTAATAATAATTAAAAATGACAATAAAAATAATCTTATTATTACATATTATATAATAGTTACGGAGTCAAACTATATAAAAAATATCAAATATTTATGGTCAATTTAAAAAAAAATTACCGAATCAATTAATTAAATGTATTGATTAAAATAAATTTTATCTCTTGACAAATTTCGAAAAACAGCTTCAATTTTTTAAAATATTATTTTTTTAACCAAGAAAATGTATGTTCTTATAAAATTTAATCATATTTCATTAAAAGAGTGAATTTTCTTAGTTTTTATTTTAAAATGAGAAATTTTTATTTTAAAATTATTTTATTGAATACAGTATTCATAGAAATACATTAAAAAAATGGAATGTGTCTTGAAATTGAATTATTTTTTTACCAGAACTTAACTAGTTTGACTCTTGAGTTTTCCTTTTGATTTAGTAAGTTTTTTAAATCTTATTGTCAAATTTCTTACCGGAGCTTGAAGTCAGGGTAGACCATCCTGTTGGGGAAACCTTTACGGCAAATACGGATACCTTCAAGTACACCGTTACATGTCAACTGGTGCATAACCAAGTGAGAGTCGATGACACCTGAAATCCGGAGTGTAAGATGTTGAACGGAAAACGAAAAAAAGAAACACTTTATATAAATATTTACCTGGCTGTTTCAATTCGTTGGGAATGATACAACGAACGAAGTGAGGCTGTGTGCTCTTCAGGGTGGTCATCAAGTTGTTCAATTGTTCCTGTAAATCCAAGGGAAAAGTGTAAGAAAATTGTTCGGCAGCTTTTCAGTCGGGCCTTTTTACGTTTCGGAAAATGCCTCGGGAAATTTATCTCTCGATTCGGGGACATGAGGAAATTTTTGTACAGTAACTACTTTAAAGGTTTACACGGATTTTAATTAATTCTAAGAAATACTCTACTGATTTTTATTAATAATACTGCCCTGCTAAGCACTAACCGCTATAAGAAATTGTACAGAAAATGTCAAAACATATTTTCAAAATACTGTAAATGAATTCTACTGGGTTCTACTGGGAAACGTGCGATCACGTATATTTTTCTTAAATATAATTTATCAAGGAATAAAAATCAATCCTAATTTGTGACATATTACAGCCATAAAACTTAACATTTCTACAAAATGTAAGCAAAATTTATTATTATAATCCGTCAGAAATTTTTGAAATTTAACTAAGTAATTTACATCAACATTAACAAATAATAAACAATATAAATAATCAATAATCAATATAAAGATTTATGGCATGTTTATATGCACGACAAATTCGCATTTATGAATATTATTCTTTCAAATTTAGAATTTTTTGATGTACTGCTTTTAAAAATATATATAAAATTTAAACAATTAACTTTTGAATTTGTCATATGGGTTTTCATTAAATTTAATTTTTCATACAAACTATTTTGTTAATAAATTTTAAATATTTCTCAAAATTTTGATGTGCTCAGAGGCAAGAGTTAAGGTTTAAATAGTCCATAGTTTAAATTGAAACAATTAACTTTTGAAATTGTCATATAAGTTTTTCATTAAATTTATTTTTTCATACAACAAATTTTGTTAATCAATTTTAAATATTTCTCAAGATTTTGAACTGCTCTGAGACAAGGATTAAATTTTAAATAGTTTATGGTTTAAATTTAAATTATTAACTTTTGAAATTGTCATATGGGTTTTTCATTAAATTTATTTTTTAATACAAGCAATTTTATTAATAAATTTTAAAATTTATCAAGATTTTGATCTGCTCTGAGGCAAGGGTTTCAGATTAAATATGCAACTTAATTGTTAATTTATGACTGGATCGAGCATATTTTTTTCTTATTACTTTTTTCGTTGTGGTCTAAGCTATATTAGAGTTTTTATGTTATTAATTAAATTTCTGAAAAAAGTTTGAAAGAAAATATGGAATAAAAATTTGTAGAATAAGTTGAAGGTTGATTTTGTTATATTAATCAATATTTTCTGTTTATTTGATAATATAAATTTTGAAAATAGTGCGATTTTGCGTTCTTTGCAATTTCTTCCCGTCAAAAACATACATTTCGGTTCAATGAACAATTTAAATATCATGCAAACTTACTACTTAGCAGGGCAGTTTTTATTTTAATGATACAAATCTACAATTACATGGGGCACACCATTCATACTTCAAATCAACAAATATCTACTTTTCAAAAAAAAAAAAATTGTTAAACTAGAGTGTGGAATGTCGTGAATAACGAAATTCTGTGATCCTTTTTTCGTATTCCTTCTCCTTTGACATGCAAATGTCGTGCAATGATTGATTTAGTTCATTTGATAGGGCACACTCGAAATACACCTTGGACTAGTTGACAATCGGTGTTTGATTAAAAAATGAATTATGGTAAAAAATATAATTGCAAAAGTGTACTTGTTTTAATGCAATTGTACTTTTTGATTATTTTTCATTCAGGGCGATTTCACATGATAACATGCGGATAGAAAAAAATTGTTTCTAAATCCTTGATTTCCGAGCGGGTTCCAAAAGTTGTTTAATATAATCCATATTATTTAAATTAATTATGCTTTCTAAGTAGAGTTTTTGTTGAGGTGAAAAAGCTAGTGTCATGAGCGGGATTCGAACTCACGACCTTCGGCTCATTACGCCGCTGCTTTAACCACTCACGAAAGCTCTTTTTCACCTCAACCATGACCTCAGATAAAAAGTATAATTAGTTTAATATAATATTGTCTTCTGTGACAAGTTAAAGTTATGTGTTAGGGATGATAACATTCCTCATCGTTGTTGCAAAGGGATTTTAAATCAACACAAGTACCTTGTAGGAAGAGGACACAGTGGCGAAACCACCTCCTTTCTTGCCTCGTCCACCTAGATTACAACAAAAATCCCATTTCTGAAAAATCTGTTACACTAACGCTCACAACCAATCATTCGCCCATTCGTACACAGGGGGGAAAGGCCTGAAATTTTTTTAATTTTTAATTTTTACGATTTTGGTTTCTTTTATGTACCTTATATAAGGCCGAGACAGTCATGAAAGCTGATCCTTTTGTTCTTTTTCCACCTGAAATCAATCGGCTTTTAAATCAACACGTTCGGCAGTTGCGAGCACCTTTAAGTGTCGACCTAAGCGCAATTGTTAAAACATTAAGCTTGTTTAATGTATTTTAAGTTTTATTAAAAGCGAAACTTTTTTTTTGTTTAAGACAGAGCCAATCCAGCTCAGCGTTGAGGTCGAAGCTTGGCCGTTAACAAACAGTTAAAACAGATTTTTTTTAAACCACCGATTGTTAATTCATAGAAGCTCGTGGTAAAACGTTAATTTGTTTTGAATAAACATATACACAAAAAGAAAAAAAGTTTTGATAGAACATAAAATAAAAATAAGGAGACATTATGAAATATTCCGCAAGAGTAGACGTCTTGGCTAAAGCGCTTTAGAATTGGTTAAAAAAAGCTTTTCTTTAAACCTAAAGTTATTCACTTTACATTTTTTTCACGCTTGCTAGAACTGCTTAAAGCTGAGGGATTACAAACACACTAGACCACACATCACACTCTCTGAAATAAAATGACATTATAACAAAAACAATAGCATTAAAAAAATTATACATAAATTTTATTTTTTTCCTTGGCTTATTTATTTTGTTAAAATTTAAGAACTGATGTAAGCCTTATTAAAATATTATTGAATAAAAATTATGAATTAAGCAAAATTATATATTAACAATGACAACAAAATTATGTATATATTATAAAATTTTATTAAATCCATTATATTTAGTGATCTATTGACCAAAATACTTCTTTCAATTAATTAATTTTTTATAGGTTTTTGGTTGAAATGAAAAAGTTAGAGTCAGCAGCGGGATTCGAACCTACGACCTTCGGCTCAATACGACGTTGCTCGGCGTATTGAGCCGAAGGTCGTGGGTTCGAATCCCGCTCTTGACACTAACTTTTTCATTTCAACCAAAACCAATAAAATTTTATATTGAAAAATGTATTTCGAATTTAAATTCAAAATAAGTCTGATGTAAATTGAATATTGCATGTATGTTGCAAATTATAAATAAAGTTTCAATACCCTTGCCACCGCTGGGGTCAGCACCGCCAGATTGTCCGGGATGATCAGCGAAGATTTCACAGAGAAGTTTGTTAGTACCCTTCTTGTACTGGTCGACGACAGTGTCGTTCAAAGGATCCTTGTTCTTTTCCAGCCATCCTGTGATGTTGTAAGACACCTGTCAATTTTTCCGTTTTGATTAGTCGTTCCCGCGATGGAATATTTCCAATCCAAGCATTCGATACTCACAACACCGGCGTAATGGCCGATGGCGAAGTGGGCGGCTTGGCAGCCTGGCTTTGGAGGCTTAGGCTTCTGGAAATTGGGGGACTTGCCCAAGTGATTGGTGTTCAACTTGTCCTCAAAGGTCTTGTCAGTGGCCTTCGGGAACATAGACTCTTCTTCAAGGATGGACAAGATACCCATGGGCTGTAATAAAGTAAAGATGAGCAAGAAAAGAAAATCGAGTGGAATCATTTGTGTCCGTGTAAATGTGTTACTAAAATCGTTTATTTAACAATCTACTCAAATAATTAAAATACTTTTCAAACAAAAGTGTGAAAAAAGCTGCTTGTACGATACTTAATATACTTCAATTTAATTTTGGTAATTTTTTTAAAATGATCAATTGCTTCTACTGTCTTTTAAGTTGTACTTTAAGGTAAATTAAAAGTGTTTTTTTTTTTGGGAGTGGGGGTGGAATTTCAAATGCTCAAATATTCAAAAAGCTTTACGTTACCTTCTGCTGTAGAGCTCCTATAAGCGCAAATATTACTGGCGACAATAAAACGCACACAGTTAAAATAATTAGATAGTACAAACCAAAAAACAAACTCATACAACAAATATTGGTGAATTAAATTAATTTTTGTTGTACGAGTTTGACTCTGTTAATAGAAGGTGTTCACCTTCTCTATAAGCTCGATGCATGCCGCGAGATCCATCCCGAAATCTATGAACGCCCATTCGATACCCTGACTCGTGTACTCTTCCTGTTCCAGTACGAACATGTGGTGGTTGAAGAACTGTTGGAGCTTCTCGTTCGTGAAGTTAATGCAAAGTTGTTCGAAACTGTTGAACTGGCAAGCAAAAGCACAACACATAGAAAGAAAACACAACAGCCGCCGTCGGCACGGGCTTCCGACCGTGGAAACGCCCCCGCCCCGGCAATTCAACTTCTACCTTTTCTATTAACTCAATGCAGGCGGCCAGATCCATGCCGAAATCGATAAAGGCCCACTCGATCCCTTCTCGGGTGTACTCTTCCTGTTCGAGTACGAACATGTGGTGGTTGAAAAACTGTTGCAGCTTCTCATTCGTAAAATTGATGCAGAGCTGCTCGAATCCGTTGAACTAATACGGTGTCATGGAAATACAAGAAAAAATCAACAACGGGCTGACACTCATGTCAGTTTCCTTGTCTGTACTAATGTCTAATTTTATAGGTTTTATTAAGAAGAAACTTCAATTGTCTCAGAAACTGTTTAATCATAGGTGTTAGGCATGGTTAGGGATGGTTAGAGATGGTTAGGGATGGTTAGAGATCCTTAGGGATGGTTAGGGATGAATGGTTAGGGCAAGTGTTGGGAGTTTTAAAAAAATAGCATGCTGTTAGGATTAAGTTATTACCACATGAGTAATAATATTGAAACATTATATTGACCGTCCTATTAGTTTTCACGGTTTACCTTTTGACTTTTGGCTTTCGACTCGGGGATCATTGACTCAATTGAAAACCGTGATGTGTATGTCATCAGGTCGGAGTAATCAAGGTCTCGGTGTTAATTGTACCTTTTCAATAAGTTCGATACAGGCCAACAAGTCCATTCCGAAATCAATGAAAGCCCAGTCAATTCCTTCCCTCTTGTATTCTTCTTGTTCCAAGACGAACATGTGATGGTTGAAAAACTGTTGTAGCTTTTCGTTGGTGAAGTTAATACAGAGTTGTTCAAATCCGTTGTACTGTTCAAGAGAAATCATGATTAAACCGGTTTTTCGTGTTAAAAGGCTAGGTTATAAAAGTTAAACGTTAATCCGCTCTATACGGGATACACGGACATTCAAAGCCCTTTTTTGCGTGTACCCTTTCGATATGTCTGATGAAGACGAGTTCATGACTTTTTTTACATTCAACCTGTTCCAGATTTCTGGAGTTTTTCGTTAATAAAGTTAATCAGCTGTTTCAAAACTTATTATAATGTTAGCAAAAGTTTATCATATTATTTTTAATTAATCAAGGTTAAAGTTTTTTCTAAATTTGGGTTAAGCATTTTTTTTTCTTTTTGACAATTGCCAGTTTCGTCTGGAAGTTTCCTTAAAATAAAAATCATTACAAATTTTGTCACATAAAAATATTGAGTTTTTTCAACCATTCTGATGCTGTTCATCAACATAAGAAATAAAACACAATAAAAAAGATTAAAGGAGAAAGGATGCGGCTAATTTAATGTTTACAATTTTTGTTAAAAAAAAAGTTTTAAATGTGTGAAAATACAGAAGACATAATCAAATTTTTTTCCCTATCTAATAGATTTATGATGGAATAATATATAATTTGAATTTAATGCCTTCCTTTCCCCTTGTATAAATATATTATTATATTAACATATAAATATTGTGCGTTTCCCAACCATTTTGGTGCTGTTCAACAAAATAACACAACAAAATAAAATTATAAAAAAAGAAGAAAGGATGTAACTAAATTAAAGCTTAAAATTTATGTTTTCTGATAGAAAAATAGGTTTAAAATCTTTTGAAAATATAAAGGAGACATAATCATATTATTATGATGAAATAATATTTATAATTTTTAATCTAATATCTTCCTTTCTCCTTGTATAAATATATTATTATATTAATGTATAGTTTTTCAATCTTCTGGTGCTGTTCATCAACATAACACAACAAAATAAAATTATTTAAAAAAAAAGAAGAAAGGTTAACGTACACCATAAAAATTATATTTCGGTTAGAAAAATAAGCTTAAAGTTTTGAAAATGTAAAGAAAGTCGAAATGTTTTTCAAATCTAATAGAATAATATTTATGCTACCACCATTTCGGTGCTGTTTATGAATATAAAATAGCACAATAAAATTATTTTAAAAAAATAAAGGTTGTGGTAAAATTTAAGACTAAAAATTTATTTTTAATTAAATTTTTCACGTTTTAAACTATTTAAATTTTTTTTGAAAATATATAGGAGATATAATCATACTGTTGTCTAATCTCAAAGTGGATTTAGGACTAAAAAATGTTTATAAGTTTAAAATATAATATTTTCCTTTCTCCTTGTTTTAAGTAATTGATTATTTTGCACTGACACATAAAAATGATACTTTTTTTACTAGTATTTCCAATTGTAATAAGAAATACTAGAAAAAAAATCATACGATGTTTTCCATACTTTGATATAATTTAAGCCTGATTTTAAAACTTACGTCGAAAATTTCGAAACCGGCGATATCCAGTACACCAATGAAGTGCTGCCTCTTTTGTTTTGTGTCAAGAGTTTCGTTACATTTTTTGACCAAGAACTTGAAAAGACGATCGAACATACCCTTCGACATGGCACCGAGTGAGTATGTGACCTGTATTTATAAGAAAAAAAAAATAGTATTAAATAGGTTTGGAAAAAGAATAATTCAGATTGTAGGTTTCCTTACCTGATTGACGTTCCTACCCTGGGTGACGAATTCGTTACCGACCTTTATCCTTGGTTTGACGAAGTTCTTGTATAAGTCGGCGCCTTCAATGCCAAGAAGCCTTCCGACTCTGTCACCTTCCTGCGTGGCAAATCATGATTATAAATGTAAATCATATCGATTTATTTTTGCGTACGACTCACTTCTGTGCCATCGGGCTCGGCTTGCTCTTCACGACCCCTTTGCTTGAACTTCATGCAACCCATGTGCATAACGGCGGCGGTGATCTTGTAGATGTTGTCCTTTTCTTCTTGAGTGAAACCCAAAACGTCGAAAGCTTGCTATATTGTCAAAAAAAAACAATCAACGTCAGTAACACCTTTAAAAATGAAAAGTTAAAACAGGGATATGTTTATGTATTTATTTTTGTATTATTCACAACTGAAAAAAGGAGATATTATTATAATAAAAAGTCATCTTACAAGAAGTTCTTTGAAAAATTAAACGAAGGTTAAAATATGGTTTTACTCAAAAGGAACATGATAGAGGAAACGGACGTTAAAAAAGTTATTTTTTAAAAAATGAAAGGTTCTTATGGCAGAAGAAAAGTTAAAAAAAAATTATATTTGTTTCAAAACGAACGCTATTTGAAAATTATTATTTTTTTAATTGTTTAAATATCATGGATAAAAAGCTTCAAAAATCAAAAATACGTCTATCAAAAAAAGAAAATGTGTAAAAATTTATATTAAAAAAATATGCATTATATATTAAAAAATATCAAAACACAAAAAGCGGCTTTTATGGTTTAAAAAAAAGCCATAAAAATATTTTTGTACATACTCACCGTTTTCTCCTTCAAAAAAATTTCTTGGGTCCAAAAAATATGGTACATTGTTTTAAAATAGATGAAAAATGTTAACAATATTATCGTTAATATCGTTATAAAAATTATGAAAGGTTTTATTATTGTTTTTTAGTAAAAGCTAATTGTAAAAAAATATTTTTGTTTAAGCATATGCTTATGCAAAGAAAAAAAGACGGCGAACCTCCATACTGTTATTTGTTTAAGTCGATGACACGGTCTTCCTTTCATTTGGACTCCCGAAAAAATAATCATGGATAAAAAAAAAATCACCTTGGGGCTGAAATCTTATGGAAGTTTATCAAGGATTGTATTGGGGAGGAAATTGAATTTTGGATTTTTCTTTTTTCAGAAAAAAAGAAATAAACAAGGTCTTACATCGGTTAGGGTCATTTCTTCGGCGTCATCAACTCCAGCGATAGAGATTTTACCCTGGGATACATAGTTGTACTCGTAGATGTCATCGCTAAGCAAGCACATCTCTGTTGAAGAAGTTAAGTATGAAATTAATTTGTTATATAATTAATATGAAAGCCTTCTCTGAAAGAAATCGGTTTATTAAAAAAATTATTGCCAACAGTATAAATGCGATAGTTACTCTGTTACTTTATGAATTATTCCTGAAACATGAAATTATTAAATAATTAAAAAAGCAATTATGTACGTTAAAAATGTTGCTTTAGCATGTATTTTTAACCAATAGAATAATGAAGTTTTGTTAAGATTTAAAAGATGGATTTTTTTGTAGTTTTGATGTTGACTTACGTCAGTGAGAAGTGATTCTTCAGTCGTTCACCCCGTGTTTTTACCCTTATTAATAAAGTTATAGTCCTCCGGCCTGTTATCGAACAAAGTCATTTCGGCGGAAATTATGCTTGGATTAAGTAAAACTTACACAGAGTGATATCGGTTAGGAAAATTAGAACTGCAAGGAGGAAAGTTCGCCCTTAGGGATAAGGGCGTGGTTAGGCGAAGTACGGACTTTGTGTTAAGAAGACTTCGTCTAATACGAAAGGTTTCCAAGACCCTTTTTTTTTACAACTTACATCGGTAATAAGCAACTCCTCTCCGTCATCCACACCATTGATTGTCGTTTTCCCTTGTGAGACGAAGTAGTAGTCGTTGACGTTATTTGACAGCAGGCACATTGCTAGAGATAAGGTAACACACACAAGCATTGTAAGTAGGCATATTTAAAAACCAGTTCTAGTGGCTTTTTCATCTGTCCCTTTTGCCTTGGAGACAACTAACTACTTTGTTTTGTTTTTTTCTAAACTATTTGTTCGTCTAACAGTGGTTCCTGAACACTTGACGAATAGGCCGTTAGTTTACGTTTGCAAAAAAAAAAAAAAAAAAAACTGTAGGCCTTAGGACCTGTTAAAGCTATTTGAGCTGGAAAATAGTTCAAATCGCAAAACACAAATTTTAAAGAAAATTGATATTTGTTAAAGTCAGATCGCGTTGTTGTTTCGCCCTTACATCGGTAAGCTGCATTTCTTCGCAATCGTCAACTCCTTGAATTGTCGTTTTTCCCTGGGATACGTAGTAGTAGTCGTGAATGTCGTTGGAGAGAAGACACATGTCTAAAATTCACCCAAAATACGTTTAACACAAGGAAAAACAGGATCATGCATTACGGCCTTTACATATAAAAAAACTCAAATTCACCCTTTTTTAACAACAGTGATTAAAACATAAAGATTAACGAATTTGTAATATGTCAGTAAGTGGTAGTCTTTGAACGAGTCTCCTATGAGAATAAACCCTAAATTCGGCTTTATCGCCATATACTGTTGGTCGAAATAAAACAGAATAATTCATAACTTCAAAAAGTTGACTTTATGAAATAATTTACCCTTCAGCCCCTTGACAGCGCCGGACATTATCTGGTAGAAAATGTGGTAAGACCTCTCGAGGGTCTGTTGAGAGATGACACGGGCCTTCTCCAGCAGATCTGCAAAACTCAAGTTTCAGTATTCCGCCTCTTAAGATTGAGGATGTGTATTTAAAAACTTACAGGTTTCGATATCAGCTCCGGCAAGTTTTCCAGATGGGCCGAAGTGAATACGGATAAATTTACCCTGGGCGATTGATACAATTAGATATTTATCTTTTTATTTGATACAAGTCTGTACTTACGAAACGGGAGGAGTTGTCGTTACGCACTGTCTTGGCGTTACCGAACGCTTCCAGTACAGGGTTAGTTTGTACGACTTGATCTTCAAGAGTTCCCTTAAAAATTGGAGTGATAAAAAAATCAGTAATTAACAGAAAAATACTTTTTTTTATATAAATTATCTTTACCTTCTTTTCAGCGGCCTCGTCTTTCTTACCACTGGCACCAACAGTGGCGAAGTACGCAATTACTTTCTTCGTGTTTTCAGTTTTTCCGGCACCAGACTCTCCTCTGCAGGCAAAAATTGATATTTTTCAATAAATTGTATGCATGTAGGTAAAGTAAAATTCTTAAAGCTCTAAATACTTACGTGATCAACATGGACTGATTTTCTTTGTCTGTGGGAAAAATAAAAAAAAACTCATGTAACTAATATAATCTATAAAATGACCAATAAAAGACCAACTGACAAAAAACACAAAAACTTAACAAATTCTGAATATTAATAATTAAAAATACACTTTTGGACAGAACTTCAATATAATTATTAGTTTCTCTTTGTAGTTTCTCTTATCTTGTAATAATCATCTCTAGTCAAATTTAACCCTTTTCGGACGAAAAACCTCTAAAAATAAGCGACGCGAAGTTACAAAAACAGACTACACGGACATTTAAACATTGTGCAGTTCATAGAAAAAAACACATTAATATGAAGTGTAATAGATTGTTAGCGAAAATTGTTTCAATCCACGTAGCTGATTATAACAGCAACTTCAATACGAAATTGATATATTTTAGGAAAATTAGTTTTGACATTACGTGGAAGAAACTAAATTTAAACACACTTTGATGACAGATGTTTCTAAGAAATAGTAAACATAACCAAAAAGACATCTTGGTTAAAAAAAATTTCTCGAACATACACATTTATGATTAAGACGGGGTCGAGCTTAAGTTTTGTTCTTTGTGATATTTTCTGAAAATTTTTGTGATTTGTCTCTCACTGTCTATTCATGGGCACTGTCCGAGTTTACAAATAATATAGATCAATAATTTGCATGTCTAATTGACGATATTAATTATCTCAATTAATTATTCTTTTTATGTAAGGGTCTTGGTTGAATGAAAATGTTAGGGTTACGAACGGGATTCGAACCCACGACCTTCGGCTCAATACAACGCTGGTCAAAGTGGTTAGAGCAGTGACGTATCGAGCCGAAGGTCGTGGGTTCGCACCTCGCTCGTGACACTAACTTTTTCATATCAACCAAGACCTTACATAAAAAGAATAATTAATTTTTTACAATTAATTAATACAGAGGCTTAAGTTATTCGCTTTTTTTAGGGTTGTTTTACTGTATAGGGTATTGATAGTTTTCATTAATGTAAAAAAAATTAAATTTGAAAACCAATGCGAATACAAGTACTGATTTTTTTTCAGTGATTTTGTCTTTACTTATAAAAGTTCATGAAAGGTTCCTAGATGATTTTCGTTAATAATAAAATAAGAAATTTTATTCAGCAATGGATTCCATTTATCGGAGATAATAGAAACACGAACTCTAAAAGTGAATAAAAATTTACGGTGATCCAATTTTGAATGCGCATTTTTTGATATTTACATGAATGTTAAATTAAGCAAAAAATTATACATTATATCCATTAATGAATTTTTATTACAATAAATATTACAGTTAATGTTAATATCATTGATGTATTACTGTTAATTAAATTTAATACTCAATTAAGTTAAAGTTAAGTTAAATGGGTTGTATGTCTATTAATGAGCTTTATCACAAAAAATATAACAGTTGATGATATATTCAATCTTTTATTCAAATTTAATATTAAATTAGGTTAAAAAATGGATTGTTTATCCATTAATGAGGGTTTATCTCAATAAACATGGTTGATGATAATTTCTTAGATATATTCCCGTTGGGTCAATTAAGTTACAAAATGGATTTTACATCCATTAATGAAGTTTAAAATCTCAATTATACATTTACGTTACGTGAATTTGAATGTAAATTAACTTAAAAAATAAGTAAATGCCTGTTGAATTCTGCCCAAGTTGATTTTTCTTTAGATTTTTAAACTCGAATTGAAGAATAATATTATAAAAATAAAATTTTTTGGACTAGGTCGAACGGTAATACTCACTTGTAAGCATGTTAACGTAGGCACCGTCAGAAATAGCGAAGATGTGAGGTGGGACTTCGTTCCTCCTCTTGCCTCTGTAAAGTTTGGCACAACGCAAGGTGTAAACGGGGAATCTTTTGTAAGGATTGATGGCAACGCAGAAAAGGCCGGAGTAGGTCTGTAATAAAAGTCAAGATTAAAACATGATAGGTGAAAAAGTCGAAAAGAAATGGCTTTCGTGAAAAATAAAAACTTGTACACCACAAAACAGAAATGGTAAATATGTGAAGAAATATTAAAAAGAAGGAATGGATAATGTAATAAATGGAATGTGATAGTTAAAAAAACAAAGGTTTTTTTAATAAGGTAGATAAGGAAAAAAGACCATGCCAGTATATCGCATGGTAGGTAGAGACAGAACAAATGAGACATACTATGTCCAAATACAGACATGGTGTATCATCTAAAACCATAATCATAAAATACAACATAAAAATACATATTATGGAATGTGATAGATCTTTTTTGGCCACATTGTACGTCAATTGTAAGATTCGTGGCGGCGTCTTGTGCGTGCTAGATGAAAAATAAAGCCTGAGAGTCAGTTTTCAGGCCGGTTCCAATTTCATGCTCCCGACATGCCGCTACCGCAACTTACGTAGATGAGTTTATGATAGTATCTCTGCTTAAGGTTATACAAGACAGACGCGTCATTGAGATAAGTCAAGTTGGACATGTCCTCGCATTTCTCGTACTTGGGTGGGTTCACTTGGCCAACAAGATCTTTTTTGAAGTCTTTGGTCTGTGAATTGAGAGAAACGGTTAGAAAATATGAATAAACAAAGTTTCACTTACGTATATTAGCTTATGATAGTATCTCTGTTTCAGGTTGTACAGGACAGAGGCGTCGTTGAGGTACGTCAGGTCCGCCATATCCTCAACTTTTTCGTATTTCGGTGGATTTACTTGGTAAACTTGCTCCTTCTTAAGATGTCTTTCCTGCTCATCGCATTTTAAATATCTTATTTTGTTTCAATTTTTTTTCCAATAATGAGCTTGAAGCGAGCATTTTTACTTGGCGACATTGTTAATGCGTTTGCAACGTTAAACTAATATTACTTATAAATTAATTTAATTATTAAACCACAACTACAACATATTTTTGAATGTCCTATCAGTGTTTTGTACATACAGGGTACCTTTATTAGAAGAAAAAATTGTACTGAAAATTTATTTAAAAAACATGAACCGAAACCACAAATATTTTCAAACTGTCACTTATTCTACATTATAGTTATGCAATGTTTAAATTAATATTTATTTTATATTTGTATAACTTTTTAAATATGCGATTGAATTTGTGAAAAGTTTAATGACATTTGGGTTATTTTGGAGTAGAATTCATTATGATTATAAACTTATAAAGTCCGCTAAACAATCATTAAAGCCAAAAATGAGGCCAAAACCTACTTCATATCAATACGCTATAAAAATGAGAAATAAATAATTCATGTAATTTTAATGAACACGAAAAATATGCATTAAATTAAGTTTTTTATGTAAAACAGTCTTGGCGCACTATTTTTATTTTTAAGAATAGTCAGATTTGCTTATTTGGCTAATTCATGAATTTAGTCAAAAAAAAGTCCGCCGAAAAATTAATACTGTACTATTTGGGTATTTTCAATATTCATAGTTAAAAAAATACAGTAAATAGTATAAAAAAGGTGTTTTTACTGTTATTTTACGATAACTTGATTTTTACTTTTACAAATGTTAGATTCATAAATTAGACAAAGATTCTAGCGATAGAAATGACAGTGAATGCACTCAATCTTTTATTCGCTTTGATAACCTCATAGTTGACAATTAAATTCTAAAGCTTATTGTTAGTTAAATTTGCGAAAAATAATTTAAAAATGAATTATCTCATTTTATTTAAGATAATCTGGCCGTTGAAATATATTTGTAAATTTTTTTTTAAATTGAAAAAGTCTATTTTAAATATGCAAAAAATAATTGAAAATTTTGATATTAAAAATCTAGGCCAATTTGAAAGAAAATAAGAATTTCTTTTCCTTCGTTCCTTCCTTGACAAATGAAATTTTCAAATCTCTCAATTTTTATTATAAAATTATTATATTAAAATCCAATATTAATTATATCGAGAAAAAAAGTTATTTGACCCAAAAATTGAAATTTCATTAATTTAATTATAGTTAAATCCAATAGATGGATTATCCTTAATAAATGGATATTTTTTATATTTTATACATTATATCAAATTTTTAAATCGATTTGAAATCGATGAATAGATTATTCAACTTTTAGAAAAGGAATACAGTTATTCAAAATGTAAATTCCCAATATTTCAATATTGTTAAATTGAATAAATTGATTATAGATTATATTGTAAGTCAGTTTCAACTTATTTTCATTATAGAAATTTATACATGGAGAATCAACTTTTTAAAGAACCATAAATTTAAAAATGTATTATCTAGGTTCTATCTTCCTAGAAAAAACTACCTACTTAAAATCGTAATTTCATTAATTTAATTGCAATATATACTAATGCTTTCATTATTATTTTTTTAACAAACATTTAGGTTTGTGTTTAAATAAAATTTACTTTATTGTTTTATTACTTATTTATAGGATTAATACTTTAAATTATATTGGTTGTATGTACAAATTTTAGGCTATTTTTTGGTATACTGTATGCAGAAACCTTCGGACATTATGTACATTTCTTAAAAACCAGTTAGTTATGCGGACGACTAGGTCCTGATTTTACCAAGCTGTCTGTTACGGTCTTAGAAATAAAAAACTTAGTATTTAGTAATAATAAATATAATAATGAGGAGGAATGAGGAATCTGTTTCGCACTGATTATATCGTTTACAGTATTTCCTCATAGCTCTCAAGGATTGTTTTTGTATTTACCTCTCCATTAGGAAGACTAACGGTGACGATGTCACCCTTGGTTCCTTTGATCTCACCCTGGACGAAACCTTCGCCCTCGTCTGGAACCCAGCAAGCCTTCTTCGCATCGTAGGGTTTCGTTTGATCTATACGCTTTTGTTCAAGGGACACAAACAGATAGGGGGTTGGGTCGGGGTCATCTCCCCCAGACTGCATCCCTGCGGGACCTTTTGACGCCATTTCAAGTCTGTCCTTGCAACCGGGCTAGAGAAAACGTGGACAGCCCTTCCTGCTGCAAACCACATTTGCATTAGTTCCGTTTCGATTGTTGATTACAAAAAAAAAAAAAAAAAAGAGGTCAGCTTAAAGCGATGCTTAAGAAACAACAAAACCAAATAACCTCAGTTAGATACGCATGCAATTTTTTAAAACAACCCTCCAAGAAAACTCCAATATTTCTGCCTATTTAACCTTATAAATGTAAAAAGGATTATCCGTTGTTATTCTTTTTAAAGAAAAATCAAAAACCTTTACCTAAAGTAAAAGTTTATTCTTGGTTTATTTTATAGCATCCTCGATAAAGAGATGGTTCTTAAAAACAGGCTAACAGTTAAATCTATTTTAAGTATATTATTTTTGCATTGTGCTTTTAAACTCTTTATCACAAATTATTTTTTATGACGACTCTATGAGGTGTATTCGAATAGCACTATGCATAATAAAAAAAGTACCATAATGAAAATCTTAAGGTGGGCGGTATGTTTTACAACAGGGAATATGTTCCAAGGTAAACTGAACTACATTCTATCATTACTTGTTCTAAATCAATTGTTAAACAACTAATGTTCTGAATGATTGACTGTTTTCTGAATGATTTAAAAAATAGATTGACACATAAAAGCAGGATAATTCAATTTATTTTAGTTTTTACCAAGTCCAGTTTTTTCGCGTTTTATCTCAAACTATTTTTTTAAAAGAATCTATAAGGAATATTTGAATAGAAATAGACGTAATAACTGAGCTAATAAAAAAGCTTGAAGGTGGGCGGTATGTTTTACAATAGGAAATATGTTCCAAATTAAACTGAACCAACCTCTATCGCTAATTGATATTTCTTTGTTGTTTCAAACCTATATTTAAACTACACCTAGGAGTTCAATTTAAAATTTTGAATAGTAAAAGATCAGTTCATTTATAACACATAATAATTAAATTTATTTCAAGTTTATTATTTTTTACAGCCTAGTTTTTCGCTTTTTATAGCAAACAATTTTTTTAACAATCTATGATGTGCACTAGAATAGAAGTAAACATAATAAATGAAGTAACAAAAGGAAAGCTTAAAAAGCTTAAAGGTGGGCGGTATGTTTTACAGAAAGAAATCCTTTTCTAGTCAAACTGAATTTTCTGTTATCATTTTATTTATTTTTGTTTGAAACTAATCGTCAACTACTTTATGTGTATGAAATATTGGATAATTTTAAAAAAATCGAAAATAAAACCGGAATGTGAATGAAAACATTTGTATAATGACGTCGAGTTTACGTCACGCTCTTAGAATAGAAAGGCCGGAATTTCCTCCACCCCTTATTTTCTTCATGACTAAATTAACTTGTTTTTCTCTTAAGGGATGAAGTATTTTTTCTTTCCGCCTTTTAGCTTATTAAAAAAAAAAATCGGGAGCTCGCGTTTCTTGGCCTACCCTCGATCTAATTCCGTACTTCCTGAATGGGCTCACGCCTGGGCCTATATTGTGGGGGCGATCTATTTATAGGCCGAATTCCTATTGTGACCAGAGAGGTTGAAGCCCAATTGGAAGGGGTTGAGAATGCTGGTATCAAGCGTGCCAAAATATCATTGGATGATTTTTTTAAAATTTAGTTGATAGACTTATATCAGAAATCCATAAAAGGTTACCTTGTAATGTTTAAACTAGAAAGAGGAATATTCAAATTTTAAAAAGAAAAGTGTTAGTCAAAGCAAAATCAAATTCAAAAATGTTAACTTTTTCTATATGGATTACGACACACTTACTATTCACGGTGCCTGGGTACCTATGTAATTAATAAACCTTACAAGCACTCTACAAGTCGGGAAAGTTCAATATTAAAACACTACAATATTAGTATTAAATTTAATTTAATTTCATCTTCTTTCACGTATAGATAAGGCAAAATAAAATTAAGTAAATAAGTATGAAAAGAAATTTGTAGTAAATAAATGTTTATGTTAAATCTCTTTTGTCTTAAGCCTAAGTTAAAAATTGATCGAAAATTTATGAAAATTTTCAAAATTCAAAAATGGTTTTCGATTCGATTTACGATGTAAGAGCCTTTTAAAATCGGATACCTTTTCCAGAGAGAGGACGGTGTCGAATCGAGGGAAGTCACACGACTGGTAGCTTTCTAGCCTCCTGCCCACTATTTAGTTAAAAATAATTCCTCCCACCCCCACTCTTCATTAAATGGGTCAAATTTTTTTCCATTTTTATTATTAATCCGATTGACAGAGCACTATCACAGAGAGCAACAATGTTACAGAGATTTATTTTTATATAAAATTAGATTTATTTTTAAAAACTGTTTTTTTTTTTTTTTGAAAATTTGAACCGATTTTGTTTTCAGCAACCCCCAGTGCTTGTACCCTTCCGGTTTCACAGAACTTACCTTAGGAATTTTCTTTCTCGGAAACACAATAGACAATACCCAGACACCTGCGAATAGAGGTCGTCGTGTAATCCAAGTAATGGGATGAGAGGTAACACTGATATCACACCGAAACGAACACACTTACTTGCCGGAGAGTAGTGACGGTTGCGGGGTGCGGACCTCCCAATATAAACCCGTGCAACGTGATCCTCCTTTGTAACAGGGGATCGGATTGGTGGGTCCGCCAGGCGGCCAGGGATCCCCACTGTGCCAATTTTAGAACCTGGAGGGGAATTTGAGGCCCAGTGAGTACCCTGAGCTTCGTCCAAGTCGATCCTCCAGGAACGGATGGGCCCTCGGAGAAAAAATGATAGATACGTCCGAAAATTATCATATAAAAAAAACTCAAAAAACAAGGGTTTCTAACGAACTATCTCATCCATCTACTACAATAATATTAATAGCCGTTCTAATATCATAAACTCTATAATAAAATAAATTTTTAAAATTTCATTGCATGGACATTTTACTGTCTTTGAAGTCACTAGGGCAAATTTTTACATTCATTTAAATTAAAACAGAACAAATTTATTATTTTTTTGTATAACAGAAAACGATAAAAGTATCAACCAACTTTTTTCAATATTTGAACTCTTGAATTAAGAACCTGTAGGTACACAGGTTTACTCACGTTCCTATCATTTAGACAAGCGCATAATTTTATGAAAAAGAAAGATCCAGGAGTAGAAAAGGAGTTAAAAAACACTTTAAATTTTGGTTTCTTGCATTTAGCTACAATTATGTCTAAATATTCTGTTTATTTATTTAACAATTTTTAAACAAAAACACGCATACTCATCTTTCTATATATTTATTTATGTATGTATCTATTTATGTATTTCGATCTATCTACGTATGCACTTCTATTTTTGTATTTAATAATTTTAACATGTGCACTACCTTCGTACTTTTTTTATATTTAAATTATGACCATATGTCCCATCAGAATAAGTGAATATAGCCTTCTCTCTTTTCTCCCTATTTCTCTCCTTCTTTTCTCTCTCTTCCTTTATCTTTTTTCGACCCATTTCTTTCTCTTTCTTTTCGATTTTTTTCTCTCTCTACACACCTGTCCACCTATCTTCATCCATCTACCTATGTATTTAAAAAATTTTAAATCGTTATTGTTTTCTTCCTTTTTTTCATCCGAATTATGGCAAATTAGCCCTTAAAAATAACGGATGCAGCACTCTCTCTCTCTCTCTCTCTCTCTCTCTCTCTCTCTCTCTCTCTTTCTCTTTCTCTCTCTATCGTTTTTGACCACTTTTTTCTTTTTATTTTTGATCTCTCTCTCTCTCTCTCTCTCTCTCTCTCTCTCACTGACTCTCTCTACACACCTATCTACCTATCTTTATCCATCTATCTGTTTAACACTTTTTAAATCGTTATTGTTTTCTTCTTTTTTACATCCGAATTATGGTAAATTAGCCCTTAAAAATAACGGATATAGCACTCTCTCTCTCTCTCTCTCTCTCTCTCTCTCTCTCTCTCTCTTTCTCTCTCTTATCGTTTTTTGACCCCTTTCTTTTTCTTTCTTTTTGATCTCTCTCTCTCTCTCTCGCTCACTCTCACTCTCTCTACACGCCTATCTACCTATCTTTATCCATCTATCTGTTTAACACTTTTTAAATCGTTATTGTTTTCTTGCTTTTTTTACATCCGAATTTTGGCAATTAGCCCTTAAAAATAACGGATATAACACTCTCTCTCTCTTTCTCTCTCTATCGTTTTTTGACCCCTTTCTATCTTTTTCTTTTTGATGTCTCTCTCACTCTCTCTCTCTTTCTTTCTTTCTCTCTCTCTATCTATCGTTTTTTGACCCCTTTCTTTCTCTTTCTTTTTGATCGCTCTCTCTCTCTCTCTGTCTCTCTCTCTCTCTCTCTCTCACTCTCACTCTCACTCTCTCTACACGCCTATCTACCTATCTTTATCCATCTATCTGTTTAACACTTTTTAAATCGTTATTGTTTTCTTCCTTTTTTTTCATCCGAATTATGGCAAATTAGCCCTTAAAAATAACGGATATAACACACTCTCTCCCTTTCTCTCTCTATCGTTTTTTGACCCCTTTCTATCTTTTTCTTTTTGATCTCTCTCTCACTCTCTCTCTCTTTCTTTCTCTCTCTCTCTATCGTTTTTTGACCCCTTTCTTTCTCTTTCTTATTGATCTCTCTCTCTCTCTCTCTCTCTCTCTCTCTCTCTCTCTCACTCACTCACTCACTCACTCTCTCTACACCCTATCTACCTATATTTATCCATCTATCTGTTTAACACTTTTTAAATCGTTATTGTTTTCTTGCTTTTTTTACATCCGAATTTTGGCAAATCAGCCCTTAAAAATAACGGATATCACTCTTTCTCTCTATCGTTTTTTGACCCCTTTCTTTCTCTTTCTTTTTGATCTCTCTCTCTCTCTCTCTCTCTCTCTCTCTATCCACCTACCTCTTTTTACCTATCTAATTCTATCTATATGTCTATCTATTTACCCATTTTTAATTGTTATTACTTTCGTAATTTTGAACATATAAATTACGACCAATTATTCGATAAAAACAACAAATATAGGGCTTTTTCTCTCCCTTCTCTGCCTTCATTTTTCTCACTCTTTCTCCCTATCTATAATCTGTCCAACTATTCATCTATCTATCTTCCTGTTTATCTACTTTAAATTTCGTATTCAACAATTTTTAAATTATTATTACTATCTTACAATTTTTACAACTAAATTACGACTAATCTCGTCAAACCAAGCTTATATTGCACTCTCCTTTTTCTTTCTTTTTCTCTCATGCTCTCTTCTTCGCTCTTCTGTTTTTTTACTAGGCTCATTAAACCCTTGAGTAATGCAGTGGTAATACCTGTTTAATGCAAGTTTAATAGTGTTTGAACTTGTAATTATTGATTCAACATCGGACCGAGCTAACTGTTTACGCTTTATAAAAAAAACCAGCTTTGATGATATTATCCCTGTACTTTGAGTGCTATAAGCAGGAGCCCTTTCCTCATCCCGCCCACACTTAAGACGCCTAACTTGAATCGAGGCACTTAAGTTAAATAAACAAATTGGGGCTAAAAATACAAGAAGTTTTAATTTCGTTTCCATTAGAAAATTGTAGTGTGTTTTTTAGTTGTACGCTCTAATTTTTTTAAATGGTGTTTTACAATCAGATCAAACGTTTAGTTCTTAATTATTAATGAATAATGAGAAATATTACCTAGTACTTGTACCACTGCCCATTCAACAAAACATGAAAATATTTTTTGCATTTTTTCCTGAAAACGATTATAATTAATTCGTAAATTAAAAATTTCTGGCAAGGATGACTAGCGATAAGAAGAATAAATGAAAATAAAATATACATCCAGCGAAAAAAACCTTAAAACAAGCTGGAAAATATCGGGTTGTCCGGAAAATAATGCAGGATTTTAAGTTTTCATTAAAAAAAATCTATATAAAATATTCTGTTTACGTTTACAGGATTACTCATTNTATTTTGATTAAAGAACATTGCTTTAAAGTAACTAGTTTCTTTTTTTTTGTTTAATACCAAAATCCTGCATTATTTTCCGGACAACCCAATACTAAAAACAATTACTTGAAGCTTAAACGAATGTAAATTTAAAGTAATTAAGGTTTTGGTTGAGATAAAAATGTCAGTGTCATAAGCGGGATTCGAACCCACGATCTTCGGTTAAATACGCCGCTGCTCTACCACTTGAGCTATCGTGACCTCGATCCACTCGGACACTTCCAATATCAAACCCACTTTTTTGAATTTTCCCTCCTTTTTGCCATTTTTCACCTTTTATCTCAACCAAAACCTAAATTAATTGAAAAGAATTTATTTGGCCAAGCGGACCACGAAATCTAAGAAAATGTAAATTTAAAGTTTATTGTTTAAGAATTGATGAGCTCATGACAATAAGTTGACCATTGATATGGGTTACTAAAACTAAAAGTTTAGCTAAAGATAAAAAATCCGTTACAGTAAACAAAATAAATAATTAAATTTTTGGAATAATGGTAATGGTTGAGAATTGATCACTTTTTGTCTGCATTGAGTGTACTAATTTATCAAAATCAAGAGGTCACTTGTGTTTACACTAATAAAATTTTAAAAAATAGTAATAATTTTGTGTGTTGATTGATTGGTGACCGTTTGTCGATGATTATTCAGAATTTGTGAGATGCGGTCTGGTGTGATGTAGGTTTCAGAAAACATTTTCTTTACTGTACCAACGTTTCGATCTTTATTGAGATCATCTTCAGGGCCTGGGATTTTCAAACATTGTTTAAATTTGTTTTTGTTAAATTTAAACAATGTGGTAATAATTTTATTTAAAATTATATGTAATAATCTGATAAAACTTTTTAGGCCAAAAATTTCGGATATGTACTGTAGATTGCTTTTGGACATTGCCTGGAAAGGTTTTGTCAAAAGTCAAAGCATCAGTCTAGCCTTATGACCAATTTTTTTTGTTGAGTTATTACACATTCAGATAAGAAAATGTTTTCAGAGCTGTAGAAGGGAAGTCCTAAGCAGGTATACGTTCCGATAAATTGAAGATTATTGTAAGTTAATTATTTTACATCTTTTATTAAAAGAGAATACTATGGTATTGTTTATATTAGCCTCTAGACCTTTTTGAGAGAATATTCTTTTAAGTTTAGTTTATTCTAAGCATGTTTCCATCTATTAGCTAGGCCTTCAACCTACAT